TATGTATGTATTGTCTGACGTCTGAGAAATTGAACGACGCACGACACTTTTGTAGATAGGTTACGGAAACGAGGGGAAAGAAAGAGAAGGCAACGTTTAGATTAGATAAATACGAAAAAAGGATGAAAATCGACGGAAAATGCTACCGGTAAAACGGTAACAGAATGGAAACCAACCAATACACATATTATTTACATTACTTAGAATTTAAACGGGGGAAATAAGTAGAGGTTCTAGCGACGCGATGCGAGAAACGAGAAAAAAAAAGAATATTCAGATAATTATACGTATAGCGCATTACCACGCAAAAACACACCACATACACACACATTATACATAACTGCGATTAAAATGGTGAACGAAAACGAACGCAAAGAAAGAAGGAAAGGAAGAGAACAGAGAAATGAAAGCGACGAGGACAGACAAAGGTCAGACACGTGTTTATAATTTCAAAAAATAAAGTCTAACGGTGTGACCCCGGTGGGGTGAGGAACCGCATAGTCGCGTCCTTCGCGTGTCACAACGAGAACGAGCGAGAAATCGAAGAGAAATAAATTCAAAGAAACGAAGAAAGAGAAGCGTAAAACTGATAAGAAGCGAGTTGCTCATGTGTATATTTTTGTAAATAGGTATTTGCGAGTGCCGCCGCCTTGAGGGTGGCCCGACGTCGCGACGCTCGCGCGTCTGGTCGGCCCACCCCAATTTTTGCTACCACAAATCTTATCGAGAATCAGGAAATTTCTGGTAAAAATGCGTAAGATGAAAAAAAAGTACATACTAAAGTAATAAAAACATGGTACACCGAGAAAGAAAGAGATAGAGTGAGAGAGGGAGAGAGAGAAAGCCGACGACGTTACAGAACACATGTCCGCCGAAATATGTCTCGATGGTTCTTTCCGAGTTTTTACACTTATCACGTGTGTGTATCAGGTGGATGTATTACGTTTTGTTTTTTTTTTCTTTTATGTTCTCTTTACGTTTGGTGTCGTCTACATCGTTTACCGTGTCATCCGCGCGCGCTCCTTTCTCGAATCGATTTTCTTTCGTTCGCTCGTCTCGCTTCCTTTCGTTCAGTTTTTTCTTATTCCGTTCCTTCCGTCGCAACAAAAAAAGGGTGTGTGTGTGTGAGAGAAACCGTTTTGTCGCTGATGCGCGCGCTATCGAGCGTGTTTCCCTGTATTTTCATCGATCGCGGCGATTGCAGCTCGAGGGAACGAAAAACAAACGAAAAAAAAAGGCTCAATTGTATACGAGGCCCCGAGTGTCGTTGTGCTTCTGTCATTTCTCGATAAAATGGCCAATTTTCGAGGCGTTGGAACGGGAGCGATAATTAAACGAGGGGACCGAATTTAGGAGAGCGTTAGCAATGGACTCCGCTGGCGTTAGGACTGTCCTTTAACATTTTATCTGTGGTTCGTGAAGTATTCCGTATGTACAAATATGTTAGCGATTTTTAACGATGCATGTTCTAATCACGAAAACGGAACCCCTATAGTGCCGTCTGCTACGAAGATTTTATTAGAATTTTTACAATATTGCAGTGTCATACGAATCGAAATTTTTAACGGTTAGTACATTTTTATTCGATAATATTTATCGTAGCCCAAGCCGTGCGGAATTTCCCATTTTAACTGACCCACAACGTGCATAAAGGTATCCGCATAGATAGAATGTTTCAAGAACCGAATCGATTTTAATCTTTCATTGGACCACCAGGGGTCGTCGGAACAGTTTATCTCGAGAACCAGACGAACATATCGGAACGAAATTTATATAATTCGATCAAAAACACTCAGAGAGCCTTTTCCCACCGCATAAGTCGGACCAATACGTCTACTCTCGTATCCGAGCCAGTCGGGGTTGCTAACGCTTTCGCGGAACTTCGAACGGATGGAACCTAACCTCAAAAAAAGAAAAAACCGACGATCGACCGGTCGACGAGATTCCGGGGGTCCATAGAGTTACTAATCGCGGTCCAATGGTTCACGGGATACAATTTTTCTACCTCGTGTGCACAGTGCACACGGACGCAAAGGACAAAGTGACTAAAAATATACAAAAAAAAAAGAAGAGACAAAGTCTATTAAGAAGAAAAAAAAGTTTTGATATTTTCGAGACACATATTTATAGCGGATACGTATAAATATCAGGCCCCCCGTCTTGTCAACCAGTCTCGCGGCGGCGATTCTTGATTTCCTCGCGTTTCAAAGCCATTATCCACACGTGGCATTCGTAAAGCATACACACGAGCTTTTTATCGAGAACAAAAGTTGCGTGCAAGGATGGTTTTACTGCGTGTGCGCCAAGGGATGCGACGAGCGTCACCGTTCGATTCAGGTTCTTCTGTTCCGCGTAGTCCTCGAAATCAGAACACATTCGCCGTGGTTTTTACCCCTCGCTATTATTGTTATTCCTTTTTTTTTTAGCATGGAACCGGGCATGTCCGACTCATTGGTGGCTCGTCTTTGTACGGTTAACCACTTGCCTTATAACATCGAGTCAGACACGTGATGACGATTTCAAAGTAGATTCAATTAACATCTTTGAGTCGAAGTGAAATTCTGTTTCATTGGTATTAATATTTAAGGTTCAGAGTAAATGTTACACTTGCTCTAAAGATAAAATTCCTTTTGTATCTGGGAAATTATTAACGATAAAGTAATGTTTGAAAGTACAGTCGTCAAGAAAATCATAAGCCAAGGGGTTCAGAGCGAATAACAGCACACAAGCTACGCTTCAAAGAGCCATGAGTCTTACAACAGGATCATCCATCTGAATGTATCTTGCCTTGAGAAACCTCACCCACATTAGTCTACTTTTCCTCCCAGCCCTCTTATCTGTCTTTAGATCTTGGTTTGCGACCCCAGTTGGACATGCCTGGTATATAGTTGATGGACTATATATACTCTTTATAACAAAAAATTGAAATTGGAAAGTCTTTGAGCCTGCTCGAGGCCTGTAGGACGTGTGCCCAACTGGAATTCGGTTTGCATTAGTTTTACTCTGGAAAATCAGTGTACTTCAAACGAGATGCAATAAGTGCCGGTTCTTGGTGGGGTTTAATTTTACGAGATGGCTCTCTATATCTTGTTCACTGATTATACAAACGGTAGTGCTCGCGCGCATAAGCGTTCCCTCTCGATTTCGAGCGAATGTACGTTCCTACTTGACCTCCAAAGACGTAGTTGAGTGCAACCGTTCCGGTTAACTATCGCCACGTAAGGTTCTCGATAGGGAGGGGGGGGGGCAGAGATTTCGTTTCTCTTTAATATCGAATCCTTTTCTCGATTTCTGTTTTCTCTTCTTTCTCTCGTTCCGTTTACCACCCGTCTTCGATTTTTTGATCGGCTCTTCCGGATTAGTCGCGCGAATCTTTGCCCACGGTTTTTGAGAAGGAAAATATTTTATTGTAACGCATATATTCTATTATACATATTATATTATTGTCACCTATTATTGCTATCTTTATTATTAATTTTATTATATTATTATCCTTATTATTATTATTATTATTATTAATATTATTATTGAGTTATTGGTACTATGATCGTTATTACTTCCTTCTTATTTTTTTCGATCTATTTATACGAGAATGAATGGGGGTTCGAGAGGCACGAGAGAATGGGAAGTGCCGTGTGTCTCTTCGTGCGTGAGGGGTGTTCTCTCTCAGGGGGTGAGAGATAGAGAGAGATCGAGCGAGATTACGGTCGAGAACAACAACAATGCACGTCGCGACAGAACAATTGTATATTGTACCTAACAGAGCAGCAGAAATGATTTTTTGCTCGACGGCCCGTCGATACCGGGCCAGTCGAGCGTAACATATTATATATATATATATGTATACATATGTATTATACATAATAATCTCGGAGTTTCAGTTATTATTGCCGTGATTTGATTTTTGTGTCTTCTTTTCACCCGCTGAAGCGCCGTAATTGTAATATAATTCTTATACATAATATACATACAGAGGAACACACCACCACGGGCAACACTTACGCGTATAAGACATGCAATCATAATTATATTATTATATTAATAGTATTATATATTAATTATTTTACTATACTCTCGTATACGGTCACAATGCGTGCCACCCAATTTTGATCAGTCGCGTTGCTCCGAACCGAGGGTTGGGAGCTCTCTGACCTTCCCTGAACGTGCCAAGAATGATCTAAAACGCAAAGAAAAAGAAACGACAATTATTATAATTTTTCAACGCTCCTCGACGAAATAGCAAAGGTACCAATACAAGTCAACCTCGACACGAACGTGATTAAAGATTACCATAGAATTCTCCAAAATGTTACCGTGTATCGAGACAGAATAAATGCAAAGAGGCCAGAGAGTTCCGTTTTCACGTTGATGATCGACCGTGACGTTAACGAGCAACGCGCGAGCAATTTAATTAGTTAATTGCGCGACGACGTGATCGACGCACGGGAATAATGGACTCTGCACGATTCGAGGGGTAGCTTTTGCCAAATCGGAATCTGCGATAAACGCTCCAGAAGCCCTGCGAACTATCGATGATCCAAGATCAGTTGATATTATAGGAACACAGTTCTTTCGTCATATTCTGTTTTTTTTTTTTTTTTTTTTTTTTTTTTTTTACTTTTTGTTTGCTTTCAAAATAAAATCCCATACCTACCCTTCACTCGTCAGAGTCCCGCGCGTCCCCCGAATTTCCGGTGGCGTCGCGAAATTGCGCGTCGATCCGCCACGCCCTGACTCAGAGATCATCTCAAAGAGACGGCCAGACAGACGAGCAAACGAAACGGGCAAATAGACAAGCAAGCTGGCAGAGACCCGCTGGATTGAAAGGGTGGATGCGAGTGAGTGGAAGATAGTGAGATTGCGCTTGATACGCTCGCGTCGGCGGCGTCTCGTTACGGAATTTGACGATCCTGTTGCCTGGCTGACGGGAAATTAATGGAGGATCGTTATTCGTATCCTTGCCGCGTTGAACTCAATGTAATTTACGCTGGCCGAGTAGACGGTTCGGAATTAATCTTTAGTGTAATGGAATTTGATTTTTGCACTGTCGGTATACGGTTTGGAATTAAGCTAGGTTTTCAATTAAGCACACAAAGGTCAGTGGAATAATTTCATTTTCACAAGTTACGAATTCGAAGTTTCGATATGTATGTTTAAAGGAAGTATATTGTTTATCGAATCAGAAAGTATTAAGACAGTCTTTCCGAACACAATTGTCTTTACATTCTGGAAAGTCTGATCCAGAGTTGGGTATAATATTTTATTCGAATAATACATAGTGAAAAGTAGCAATATTTAAGATTGTTATCGTGATCTTTAAATAGTTAGTGAGATTAAATAACTGTTTTGCAGGTGTTTACTTCTTTAAGAAGAAATACTTATTTATTATGAAAATTAGAACTTCGATATTTAATGAATGAAAAGTGGCATAATACATTTTTTTTATTTTTTATTATTCGAACCTCTTTGTCTAGATAATGAATTTGTCCATGGTCTAATCGTTGTCATGATGTAACTGCGCTATGTTGTGCTCAGTATTGTTATTCTTACACCAGCACATTGGAATTGTACAAAGCTGAATATTGTATTTCAGAAATGAGTCTCTCAAAAGTCAAACTGATCAATTCTATTTTCTACACATTTTTGAAACTTAACATTTTAATTTTGTTCAATGTTACGTAATTTCATATGTTCTAATAATATTAACCTTATTCATATTTTAATATATTTCAAGTCAAATTTAAAACAACAATATCTATAATATTATCGACTTTCCTCGGGTATTGTTTGCGATTAATCAGTCTATCTTTTGAGAGGCTCAAAGATCGATTAAAAAATCATAACCCAGAGAGACAATCGAAGCCGCCGCGCGAACGTGTTGACATAGAGTGCGTGTGGGCAAGCAAGGATAGGATCAAATGGCGAATGGAGCAATAAAGAAATAACATAGAATGGCAACCGCACCAAGGAGAGACCAAACTCGCTTAACGAAAGTTATTTACTTACAATGCTTTTTATTTATTTTAATGTATTAACGTTAATTAATTATTGTATTTATTGGCGCGGAACGTTGGAGGAGAGACGTCGAGGAGACAGGACGCTCGGTCCAACCGCCCCCCTCCACTATCACCCTTCAAACAAAAAGAAAAAAAGAAAACAGAGGAATTCGGGAGTAGTAGAGATCAGGATGAATCCTTTCCATTGTTACTTACGGGGTCAGCCTATTATAGAGGACCAAAAAACGAGGTGACATTTAAGAACTTGTAACAAGAAAACCATTACATCTATTAACCTAAAACCTTGTGGGTATATTTAACTATATTTTACATATTTTTTGAGTACATTTATAGTGGGCCTTCGTTAAAAAATGTCACACAGAAAGAAGTCATTATAGTGGCACTTGGTAGCTAAAGGGTTAAGAATCTTTTTGTTTTTGTCTTTGCTTCAGACAAAGGCTAACTTGATGGGTATCATTTTTTAGACGCTTTAGAAACATGGGTATAACTATGAAATACTTGTATATTTTTACTTAAAAAAACACTGTATACTCTTAAAATATAGTCAAATATACCCACAAAGATACAGGTTAGTAGACACAATGATTTTATTTTTTTACAAGTTCCTGAGAATCATTTCCTTTTTTGGCATTCTACTTAAAACCAACTCGTTTGATTCCCGTCGTGGTAAAACGAATTTCCGAGTAATCGTCACTGTTTGTGGCTGCTTCCATCGCGTGCGGCCTTCGACTACCAACCCCCCTGGTTCGACTCTGAAGCGGATACGCGCGTCTGGGGAAACATTGCGAGCGAATTGGAGCAATTCACTCTGTGAACGTCGCGGTTCCCGCGTTCGTATTGGGAATCGATGTCCAGACCACTTCCGGAATAAACAGAGATGCTTTCATGTTAAATTGTACATCGACGATATTTGGTATAATTACTTTTCCCTTTTTCAATTTGGAAACGGTAACGAATCAGCACCTGGGACTTTAGGTAGACATTTCATCGAACGAAGATTAGGTCCGTCCTTGTATTCGATTCAAAGAGCTTTTTATTCGATCGTAGAATGGGTCTCACGTGGATTATCTCGCGTCGAAAATCGAGAGAAGTTTTTCCATCGGGACACGAGAGTGAAATTGTACATTTTTCGTTATTTTTTTTTTCATTCGGTAAATTTTTATTAGTTTTAGAAGATAATTTACAACGAACACGTTTCTATTGTTTGGACTCTACGACTCCGATCCTCGAAGACGCAATAATGGGGGGTGGGGGTGAGATGTGCACGGACGGTGGAGTGGGGGAGACAGGAAGTGTGAGAACAGTAGAACGAGAGGGGAAGAAAGACCGTGACAATATATACATATATACATATATATATACATACATATATATATCTATATATTTGCAAGATATTTTGCGAGCAGGGCTTTTTTTATCTATTTTATAATAATCTCAGCTTAAGCAGATTGAGAGAGAGGGAGAAAGTGAGATGACCCTTTTGCTAAAAGTGAACAATAAAACGAGTGAGCGAGAGAGAGAGAGAAAGAGAGAATGAGTGAGCGAGAAAGGAAAAATCGAGAATATCAGCCAAATGGAGGAAAAAAACATTGAGAGAAAGAGAGAGAGAGAGAGAGAGAGAGAGAGATTTATGCGCAGCTGACAAACGGTTTGTAAATTACGTAAATAAAATATAGGTAAATACCGTCAGCTAAAAAGTGGAGGCGGTTTAACTATGTCGTATACTCTACGTTTTGTTTGTTTTGCGCCTTAGGCTTGCATTATGATTAATCTGATTATGATTATTATTATTAATTATCACCATCATCGTCATTATCATTATATTCTTATTATTATTCTTATTAATTTTATTATTAATTTTATTATTATTATTACTATTATTGTGTATATGGTATAAATTGTAAAAAGGAACGTATTTACTATAACATATTCATTTTACGGGGATTTACGAGATCCTTCGAATGAACAAATTGTTTAAACTAAAGTGAAGGAATAAATAAAATATTGACCAATTAATAGGCAGTCTTCAATAACTCCCAATACACCCTTTTCACATGTATGAATTCTTGCAATATTTTTCTTTATGTTTCAATGATCTACTGTTAAGTAAAGACTTTCATTTTTAAAATACAATAATATTACTTAATCTAAATTCATAAGGATTTATTAAGCTGTTAATTTAAGGCTGTAGGGTCATAATCATACACACTATTATTTCTTACGAACGTTCAATCTATTAAGAATAAAATATTAATTAATTGTAAGAAGTTTCTCAGACTCCCGCACTGTTTTTCCAGATCCTGAAGTGATTACTGTAACAAGTAGACTGCAGATAAGGTCAACGTTGAATAAAATTCTGCCCAACTCTGTCTCGGCGGAGTATCCGGACTATCATGAATCTTCTCTAAGAACGTTTCAACCGTGTATCATGCTGTACAATTCTCCATTTTTCCCTACTCTTCCAATACCATTTGATTAGAATCTCCGTGACAAACACAAGGGTAGCAAAAAAATAACCAATCCCAAGTATGCAGAAACTGAAGGTTATGTGCCTTATCCTTAATATCCTGAATTTCCTCTTGTCGTTCAACCGTTGACGCTTCCACGCCATATACACTTTCCTTAAGTTTAGTTTCCTCCACATATTGACCAGACCGGCTTCCACGACCGTCCGTATCACGTCCGTGACACGATTGAACATTGGCCAGTTTTCTCTGGTCGCGTACACCTGTATGGTCTGCTGTATACGCCTCGAACGGTGCAGAGTCTTCTCCCTGCTGCCTAGGTACAGGTGAAGACAGTCGTCTAAGCATGCGGTGTACGGCGTTGCGAGAACCTGTTGCTTGCACTCGTGGTAATAGGCGACCTCGTGGAAACGGGATCGCAACACTGGATCGTATATGTAGTCCGTGATGAACCTCGAGCCGTATATCGTGTAGTTTGAGTTCTGCGAACCGACAGGGAAGAAAGTTCAGTCTTCCGTAACCGAGCATTACCATGAAGACGTGTAAACAGTGTATTAAAATTTCGTTTTGTGAGTGGTAGATTGTGGCAGCCATCTTTGATTGAATTATATCAATTAGCAGAAGAATATTTGATGTTCATGTAATTTTTTGATGAGAACAGAGTTTCTAGTTTTATTACAGTTGGAAGAAATTTTCTTTGTGTTTTCTATACTGTTCGAATTTATGACGTTTGAGTACTTTTTTATAATTCCGTTTTGTAAATGGTAGATTTGCAACAGCCATCTTCGTTTGGGTGATTTCAATTGGCAGAAGAAGAATCTTATGTTCATGTGATTCTCTGATAAGAACAGAGTTTCTAGTTTCAATACAGTTTGAAGAATTTTTCTTTGTTTTCTATACTATTCGAATTTATGACGTTTGAGTACTTTTTTAAAATTCCGTTTTGTAAATGGTAGATTGCAGCAGCCATCTTTGTTTGGGTTATATCAATTAGCAGAATCGGATGTTCATGTGATTCCCCGATGAAATCAGAGATTGTAGTTTTAATTCAATTTAAAGAATTGTTCTCCGTGATTTCTATATCGTTCCAATTTATGAGATTTATTTTACCTTGAGGTCCTCCACGGTCCTGATGTTAGGACGAGAGACTGGAATGGTAAGCAACGAAGCCCAGTGACCTTGAAACGACGCGTTTATGATCAGTACCATCAGGAACACGTTGCTCAAGACGATTCTGGTGGGGGAGTGCTGGGGGATTCGAAGTATAGACACGCAGGTAACCAGACGGATTATATTTAAGCCAGCTGGCAGACAACCCCCGTATTTGGTGAGCACAAACAGGGCGATCAGAAGGACGACGACGTTCCCAAGAATTACTCCCGGTGACATGAACGATAGGATCTTCATCAACTTCGAAACTTCGCCCGATCGCTGAGTGATCACGCAGAAACCATCTTGGTCATGGGGATAGGTGTGCCTGGATGGCAGAGATGGGTAAATTCATTATTTAGACAAAGAGTTTCGAATAACCAATAAAAGATCGAATAGCACATCGTCATTTTCAATCGTTTAAACGTGGAGATTTCAATTTTTATAACAAAATAATATTTCTTCCGGAATGAATCAACATTTGACAAACAATTATTTAATCTCATTAACAGTTTAAAGCTCAGAATTATGCCTTTAGATATTGTTGCTTTTCACTATGAATTATTCGAATAAAATTGTGACCAACCCTGCTAGATGGATATGGAAGTCGTTGCAAATCGATTTAGAATTAATTTACCGTTCGGATTAAGAAATTGATTTCTATGCTATGAACTTAGAGTCATTGAAAATTAATTTAGAATCAGTCACCGTGGGGATTGAGAATTGATTGGGTTGGTGGAATTATTGATTTTGTTATATTTACTAGAACAATTACCAGCCCTTTGAGAATATGTTTCGTAACGATTCATTGAACTCTAATAAAATGAAAATCTTCTGAAGGAAGGTTTGGCGAGTACGTTCAGCGCAGAAATAATTAATTCACTCATTTACATTGTTCCCACGAAGTTACTTGTGTAACACAAGTTTGTAATAATATATAAAAAGATCACACGCTTTCTCTTCGCTAATATTGCTTGCAAAAGTAGCGAAATAATCAAACATACTATAATATCGTCTACCGAATATCTATTACAATATTCAACAAAATTTTATCTTATTATTATCATAATTTATTTTATTGCTTTCAGTATTTAGGGATACAAACATTACAAAAGAAAAAAAAGTTTCAGAGTTAGGACTTGAAAGAATATTTTTTCTTTTCTAGGTTGAATTTTCTTTATATTGTGGTGAATTTTGATTCTTTAAACCAATGAGGCACACGTGGATTGATTAACTAAATTTTTTTGAAAAATGGAGTCAGAACAGTTAAGAACTCGGGCGACGGTATTGGTGTTCAGATCTACGCAAACACATACTCGATTTTCCACATCGCGTGCAAGCTCCTCACGTTCATTCCCATGTCCACATTACCAGAACCAATTTCAGCGAGCATTCCCACCATGATACCGTCCGAATCGATGCCACCAAGATCGTCAGGGGTGCCATGACGCACGTCCACGTTCACGGTCGTGTTCAGCTTGCGGAACACTATTTTTACGATTTCGCTATTGTCACCGGTGAATTTGTCCAGGCCTCTTTTATTGGGATCTATGCAGACGTGAGGATTAAATTCTATCGCGTTCAGTCTGACTTCGTATCCGTTCAGGTCGGTCGTTTTGTCGAACCAGAGGCCATTACACATCCTTGGACCTACAGAGGGAGAAAAAATGACACATCGATGATTGCTTTCAGTGTATCACCAAATAAACAATTATTAAGTGTACAAATTAATTCGTGATCCCGTAATTAATTATTGAATCGAAACCATCGTCAATTTTTTGAGATGAGTTTCGCTAACTGCCCCAGGAATTACGTAAATGTGTAAAAAGTGATGGGAATTATTTTCAAGTCGATTTTTTTTTGTAAAAAGACAGTAAATATATGAAAAGAAGGCCATGAATTAATTTGTACACCTACTATTTCTAGAGAAACGTATTTAAGTAAAAACATATGTTGCTGGTCGTATAGTTGGAAGTAAATAATTTTTGAACCTAGTGTCATGGGGAAAATAGTATTGTCAATTGATAATAAGTGTCATTTGTGTATAAATATACTTGTTATACAGGGTTTGCGATTTCCAAAATGGAATAAAAACGAGTAAATCTCCAAAAGGACTTTTATTCTTACTTTATCGGCTTGCTGTACGCTCCCGAAATTTTGATATTTAATCAACACAGGTGGATCAGGACGGACAGTACAACTGCACAGATGGTATACATGCAAAAATAACCCAAAAGTCTGGAATCAAATTTCATCGCTTGATGCTTCGTTTCCGAGATAATCGAATTTGAATGTCTGTTCATCACATTCCGTTTCTACTTATTTTTAGCATGAAGACACTACCATAAGCTTCTCCCTGTTATCGAAGAAAACTGTACTTCTTTTCATTTTACATTTCATTTCGGGAATTTTCAATAAATGGTCATGAATTTGCATCAGTTTAAGCTTCCTATTGTGAAGGAAACTAATTCGTGTGAAAATTTTCACATACTTTTCGGTGCAGAGTGAATCTAATATGTATGGTTAAATACTGATTTTAACGGTAGTATACGTGTTTCATGAATTTTCAAATTCTCTAATCAATATAGAAGACCCGAAATTACAAAAAAAAAACAAACTTCTTGTCTAAATATTTACATTTATACCTTGTAGAAATATAAATATTTTTCTTCATTCCATTTAAAATTGTAAGGTATACCGATACTTAAATCTGTATTCATAATGATCCCTGCTAAAGTGTCAACTTATACCACATATTCATTTCTTATTTGCTTGTCTCACTAAAAATAGTATTCAAAAAAGAATAAAGTCGAGTTAAATAAAACTATTCAAGAGTAACTTGCCATCTCGGTGTTTCCTCTTCAGCAATACCCAAGGATGTCCACTTCGTCCTTTGAAATTCCCAACGTCTCCCCAAACCGTTGGAGCATTTCTAGAATAAGGATTATAGGTATAGATCACCAATCCATCGACAGGATCGATGCACAAGAAAATCGTGGATAGAAGATCATATTCCCAAGCAGTCCGCAGGTATCTGTAAGCGTTCACGCATCCACGTTCCTCGGTCTTCCTGTCTATCAGAACATGGACGCCGTTGAAATTGGACCAGGTCGAGTCCTTTATACCTTGCAGGAGCAGCCTGAGTAGGGGCTGCGAGGAGGCGATCACGACGAAATGGTTCAGCTTCCAGAGTAGGTGCACGAAGGAGAACCTTTTGAACAACGTGAACGAGTATCTGCTCAAAGTGAACAGTTCTAGGTCGTGCAGATTTGAATAATCTTCACCTGAGAAGATAGAGGAAAATAGGTATAGTTGATGCTTTTGGGTGTGGAGCAATTTTTGAAAAAGAAATTCAACTTTCTAACAGTGTTGCAGGTAGATAAATACAAAGACCATAGCACTGATATTAGTTATATCATAATTGACCTTGAAATTGTGAATAAAGTCAGTTTAAAAATTAATGAAATTTTAATGGCGATTTAAGTTTCATTTGAGTTTAAATAAAGTATGTTAAAGAGTTTTTGCACCGTTTCTCTGATCAAGTGGTCGTAAAGGACCTTGTTCCCCGTCGTTGCGTTCATCATCAACGTGGAGATCGGCAGAATGATATTCCAACCGCTTCCAGGCATGTCTTCAATCTTACCGGCTTTGTCTGGTTCGGGGACTGCTTATGATATTGCTACGGAATTAATTCAACTTGACTCGAATACAAAGTAGCCGCCGCATTTACTGCAAATTCATCTTGAATTTGCTCGAGCAAATTGAGTCGTCGTTGCCCCCATGCAGCGGCGGGTCAAGTGATGATAATGAGATTCAATTCTGGTGAGATGAGAATGGAGCATTGGATAGTGCGAAACCTTTGCACAATTTTTTAGTGCAAAATACAATCCAGCAGCTCGTAACAAACGTTCATTACTACAATTATTATCATTTACGTAATATCTATTAAACGTGCTAGGCGCTACATTGGAAAATAATACAATCACCTGAATTAAATTTCTAAACTTTTTGGCATTGAACAAAGATCCAATTTACTTATTGCCTCAGTCTAGTAAACAGTAACATTTTCCATTCGTGAAACTAAAAGTTTTCACGATTTTCAAAGACTAAACGTTCGATTTTCTGTTCTTAAAACTAAAATCTTTCACGATCTCCGAAAACCAATTGTTCAGGTAACATTTATTAAACGTGCAGGGCGCTACATTAGAAAATAATACAATCACCTGTATTAAATTTCTAAACCTTTTGCATTTAAAAGAGATTTAATGTTACTTATTGCTTCAGCCTTGTACACAACAAGACTCTCCGTCCTTGAAACTAAAAACTTTCACAACGTTCAAAGCCAAAACGTTCGTTCATTCGTCACGATTGGCGACTAATTCCTGCGCCGAATATCAACTCCTTTTATACAAAGTAGTCGCCATTTAGATACCCATCTAAATCGACACATTTCCATTTCGATGAACGGATAACCCGTGCAACTTTCGATCATCACGATTCCACCCTTTATCAGGGGTAGTTTTCGATGTATAGTAACGATGACGACGGACGGTGTTTTCGGGTGACGTAACCGAGTCCACAAGTCGAGGTGGTCAAGCAAGTCCAAGAATAATTCGATTTATATTTAAATTTAAATTTTTGCACCAGTGTCAACGACCGGATCCGTTCGGTTCCCCTTGGCTTCTAACGACGCGTAGAAGAGATCTTCAAGGTGGGAGCAGCACTCGCGCCCCCACCATGAAGACGAAGAAGACGGGTTCAAGACGACAGTTTAGCACCGGCCGCCGGCCCGAGTGCTCCTCTCTCGTGTCGATCGCGAGGAAAACAGAAAGGGAACTGTTTCCCTTCGTCTTCGTCATCCACCTTCGATTTTCTACATCGTGAAATTTCACTTTCTGCACGATTTCGAAGTGTTCGAAATTGTTGACTGATTGATCCATCAGGATCAGACACGTGATAATTGTTAAAGGGGATCGAGCAAGTGGTTGTGGGACACTTTTTTTTCGAGTGACTCGAACGCAAGGGTGAACGGAAATAGTGACCTTCCAAGGGGAACCGGTTTAATCCTTTAAAGACGAGACAGGTCCTGCGGGTAAACGTCCTGGAAGGATGATCGCAGCTCCGGAAACGGTGCAGTGGCTCTCACTGGTATTTCTGCTGGCGAATCACGTGGCGGAGGCTGAACGGCCGCACATTGTGTTTATTTTGGCCGACGATTTGGTGAGATGGTCGTTTATTATTTGGGGAATTTCTTTTGTACTATATTCGTGAGACTGGTGTGTGGTGTAGTTGGTCTCTTTTTACGTGTTATTTCCTTGGAAGAACATTTTACGCCTGGCTTTGTGTTTTATTTATATTGGTGGTTACTCATTCGCGGAATGTACGCATTTAGGTGAATGTAAAAGAAGTATACCTTGACAGTATGATGCTAGATGACTCCATATTGGTTTTCTGTGAGCATTAATTGCCTGTTTTCAGATATTCAGTTATTGAATTATTCACGTGTATAGCGAGAATTTTGGTTATTCTTGATAATTTAGGTGACGAATAGGGAAAGTTACTTGCGAAACTAACCGGTCGTTGTGGTGTTAATGAGAATGTAACAAGATTTTTATTTTGCTTCGAATGTTCGTGGCGTATTTAATAGAAGAAGCAAATTTCTGTTTCATTGTTGGTGTTATGAAATGTCTTAACACAACGAAAATCTATATTAACATTAATTCTGAATCTGTCACGTTAGTTTATTGGTATTGTTGCATTAGGTTATTTTATAAAACCAAGAATCAAACAGAAAATTATTTCTCCTATTAAATGCGTAACATGGCAGTGCAAGCAAAGATGTAACTAAATATTTATACAGTTTATTTACAAACAAACAGTTTTATTTTACAAATATTAATCAGATTGAAATAATTAAAGAGACAGTGTTAACAAAATTGAATGGTTCATATCTTACAATTACTTTACAGCGTATGCTAAGACTATAACCACCTGTAAGTGCGATAGGGTTAAACAGATACCAAACAAAACTAGGTCGCTCATTGTCGGACGTAGAATTTCATCAATATTTTAATTTTACTGCATTTACAAACAAACAAAAGGCTTCTTCAATGCCAAAAAACAGCGTTTCTTCAAAGTACCAGCATTTTATTATTTTTTTAATAAGAAGAAGCTTACATTTAATTTATTCAAATGCAATACCCCTGTATAACACGGTGGTTGGGTTCCTAAAAATTCCTGTGTTGTACGAATTCGTGTAATAATGTAAGAACTAGTACATCATTGTATTAAATACGAAAAATAGGGCCAGGTGTCCAAAAACTAAAAGACTAGACTATTCTACTGAATTCGTTAACCATGTTATTCAGGGATTTATGCAATTCTCTAACTTTAGTATGGGAATCCCGTGTTCTACGGGGATATTTCGTATTTGTGAACAAAAACAGTAACTTCAGTCTTTGTTGGCAATATTGTCGAATTGGTACCGTTCCAGAGAGACAGTGAATCCTCGATGAGTCTTCGAATGTTCCTCGGTACCATATATTAAATATTTCATAAATTAATAGGCAAATGCGTTTGAAACAAATTTAATTGTTTTCAAAATTTCAAGCTCTATCACTGTGCTAAACCTCATTTCAAAACGAGCGTTACAGCAATATCGAGGAGTCTTCGAACATTCATCGAGAATTTACTGTATATCTCACCCCCATAGGAAACGTGTTACAGGTAAAAATTATTCAATTATCAATCGATATCTATCCCGAAAAATGCCAAAAGCTTGAAGTACAATACTTCAAAAGAGAAATGGCCGCGGCATCACTTTGTCTAATATATGAAATGCTACGTCATGAATAAACTTCTTTTCTCTTTTCTATAAAAATGACATGTTTTCGACATGTGAGGCTTTCCTTTGGGGCGATGTGATATGTACAATCCACATCCAAATGAATCGGTTAATCGATTCGCAGCCGATCGAACGGAAAACCTCGTCGATTCGAACAAGCACCATAGCTGCGAAGAGACAAAAGGTGGTCAGTGTCCGGATGTTGGTGCGATTAAAGCAATTTTCAGGGATGGAACGACGTCGGTTTCCACGGTTCCGGGCAGATACCGACGCCCAATATCGACGCGCTGGCGTTCTCCGGGCTGCTGCTGGACCGGTATTACGTAAGCCCGATCTGCACGCCGTCCAGGAGCGCTTTGATGACCGGCAAGCATCCCATTCACACCGGAATGCAACACGGGGTACGTGTACGGGGGCTAGAAACGCGGTGGGGAAACGAACGCGAACGTGTTCGTTCGCTCGTTGGTCGTTTCAGCGCACAATGAGCTTGTAAATAGGTGGATCGACGCTACTTTAAGGTTGTCGATTGTTCTTTTGTTGGGGGCGGATGAAATTGTGCATTGTATGGAGGGGTGATTAACAGGTTCTGATACATAATGGTCTCTCTTGTGGAAGAAGGAAGTTTAGTTAATCGATGAACGATTAATGGGATCGATGTTGGATTAATGGTCCCTTTTTTAAATGAAAATTACCATCTAATGGTAATTCTTTTTGTGAAATACCACCGACTAAGTATAGTGCGGGCATATTGCAGTGGCGGGTGAAATGTGTGAATGAGAGCACGTATCTATCATTTTCGTCACATACAAATACGTCGTGAATCAGGACTCGTGACTCGTGATGTGTCCTGCTTCGCAACCCCTACACAGGAGTCCGACATATATTGTTTGTCCCCAAGAATGAAAACTTCGACGACAAATGTATAAAACTATTCCACATGAAGCTTTGAACATCGTACGGAAGATTTACAAGTTACAGAAGAGGAAATTATTTTTATTATTATAAGTCTGAATAATATTTAAGCCATGTTTTACTGAATTTATGCACATATTGTTACAAATATATTGTAAACTCGTATATACATATAAGTAGTATTTAAGGCAATTGTTGTGAAATTTATTCAAATACTATTGTAAATTGTGTATTTTTATCAGATTTTTGCAATAAAAAACAGTTAACTGGTGCACGTGTTGTTTATTAAGCCTATCACTGCGACTATCTCATATTTTCCCATAAAATGTTATTACAAACAATGGAATAATAAAATAATTTACTCAAATGTACATAATGTGTTAACAGTTTAACAGTGACAACGAACGCATGTATATTTTCAAATATCGGACTAACAGTATATTTTTATTCTATATTATTACATATAAGTGAGTAATACGTATCAAAAACGTAATCGAAACACAGATTTTTATTACACCACAAACGTCGCATAAAAGATATTTCGTTATATTGACATTTGTAATAATTATGGATGTTGCGGGGAAATCAATATTATTGACATTATGGAACATATAACGAAATATCACTGTAACACTTAAAAAAGTTTTAAAGTTCCATTTATATCATTATCCTGTGAAAATGTTCATACTTCCAGCAGCATTCATATTCCAATCAAAGAATTTACAGAATAAGGAAAAGGAATCTAAAGTAATTTTGAGTAGTTCTATACATCTTTATCTCGAATAATTTTCTAAAACATTCAAAGTACTAGACATTTTAACACTTTGAATCTCATATCGATTTCTAAAATAATCCTAGTTCGATGTAATATAGAACGTGGTTTCATGATATAGATTCTAAAATATTTTTCTCAGTTTTTCTATGAATATTGAAGATACGTTGCGTGCTCTGGCGACTAGGTGAATCGAAGGATTACAGTTGACTCTCCAAGCACTGGTATAAATCCGAAGTCGAATACATTTCTCGCCTGATGAGTCAAGAATGTAAGATAAGACGGGGCCATCGTAATCGTGATACTATAAATATGTGGCTCAGGTTCCTAGATAAGACAGACCTGAGGTATCTTCAACAATCCAGCATTCACTGGCTGAACGTTATTCCACTATTAACCATTAATATATCAATGGACGTTTGCCGCAGAAGAAGAAATAAATGCGTCAAATTTTTTTACCAAATTCATTAATCGATTCTCCAGATTTTCAGTAAAACAGTGATCTTTCGTACAATCACTCCTCCTAACAATGCACACTCACCCAGAGCCAGTGCACTCACGTTCTCATCCACGATATTCCCACCGACCTTTGGCACACTACGTGTTCATCGCGACGTGCGAGGACAGAGAAAGGGGAGACCTTTAGCTGTCGAGTTACGAAACGTTATAGGATCGCGGAATTTTGATTACATTCGAGTGTCTAACGTAATTTAAGCTCTGGAGCTGCTAGCAAGTTACTGCTAGTAAGCTTAAATTTTGAAATCGGAGAATATTTAACGTTGCATCGCGTCGAAATAGGTGCTGAAGTGCGCCGAGCCGAGAGGACTTCCTCTTCACGAGAAACTACTTCCGGAGTACCTTAGAGAGCTCAGATACAAAACCCACATCGTTGGAAAATGGCATCTGGGCTTCTACACAAAGGAATACACGCCCACTTACAGGGGTTTCGACTCACACCTTGGATTTTGGAGCGGCCATCAGGATTATTTCGATCACACCGCGGTTGAAAGTGTAGGTGAAATGTTGCTGGCATCTTTTGCTCTCCTTTCTTAGTTCAAAACTAACTAACAAGATTGGACATAAACAATTAATCGAGAATACTTGAATTGAACTTACTGTTTCTTATTGCTGTGCCATCTGTGCCCAATATTAGTCTGTGGCCACTTACATATACTGTCAATATAAACATATTAAGGATAGTTTCGGTGGATTTATAATTTTTCAATCTTATTATCATAAAAAAGGCTTTACAAGTACTTTCAAATAAATATCTGACACAATGAATAAATAAATTCTTCCAGGAAGATTGGTTGTACAAAAATGTTATTCATAACTGTCTTTTGAGCAGCACTATATTTTAGAACACTCTGTATACATGCAGACCGTAATAGTCAAACTGTAAATAAAAAAAAATATTAGAAAGATGGAATATCTTGGTGTTAATGAAACTGTCCGCACCGAGATGGTCACAAAACAGCGATATAATCCTTTTATTACGAATCACCTTAATTTTTTTTCTTCGATTATGTATTTATATCTATTTGCACGTGTTATGAATGCAATGTCAATACAGCCGTACTGGGGTCTGGACATGAGGCGCGGCCTCGATACAGCTTGGGACCTCCACGGCCAATATTCCACCGACATTTTCACCAAACACGCGGTGAAACTGATCGACGAACACAATACGACTGATCCCCTGTTCCTATATCTCGCCCACGCAGCGGTGCACTCTGGGAACCCTTACAACCCTCTACCAGCGCCCGACCACGAGGTCGCCAAGTTTAATCATATCAATGATTACAATCGAAGACGCTTCGCTGGTAACCGTAGATCGTTCCATCTTTACTTTATTAAGTATACCAACAAATAATCCAGTATTGCTTTTCAATTATGTTCCCCGCATTTGATGACTGACTAAAAGTAGTGTGGAATCTTGGAAAATTATTATTAACACTAGCACAACTAGCTTTGTATGTATATTAAATTAAATTTTATAATACATATAATGTAATAAAATAGTATAAGATAGTATGGTATAATATAATTTTAAAGGTCATCATAAACTCTGATCATAGTACTTTACAATTGCGATAATTATCAAATAACTGTTGTCTTGACGGGATTGGTAGTTCTAGTGTTAATATACACTGCCGCTCATAAGTACATATTAGGACACTTATAGAATAGGTGTAGTGAATGTTACAAGGTGTTACGAAATTGCTGAAAGTCTCAAACAAATATTCTTTATGGGATATCAATGCTTGAGAGACAATTCTTATGCTACTATAAAGCATAAACATGGCTTAGAATATTTTCTTCATACATATAAGGTGTACCAATATACTCATGAGCGATAGTGTGAATAAAAATATACTCTTGACTTCTACAGAACGGGTACCGATTTCGTCAAAAATCGTAGATTACTTATCAATACGCATAATACATAGAGTACTAAATATTCTAGTTCATTGTTCCAAGTGGAAAAGCAATACTTTTTTTTTTCCAGGCATGCTAACCAAACTAGATGAGTCTGTTGGCCGTGTGGTCGAAGCGCTCCGCAAGAAGGGGATGCTGAAGAACAGCATCATAGTGTTCTCCACGGATAATGGCGGTCCGCCGGCCGGTTTCAATCTGAACGCAGGGTCTAATTGGCCGCTGAGGGGCACAAAGAACACTCTTTGGGAAGGTATAGTTTTAGCAATGCTGAGAAAATAACATATTCACCGCCCCGTCGGTCACTGGTGACCGACACAAAAATTTCCGTTCAGGTTTCTTCGGTTACCGATGTCCGACACAAAACCTTCCGTTCACGCCGGTCACTGTTGTCCGACAGATAATCTTCCATTCACGTCACGACGGTCACCGATGTCCGACACATAATCTTCCATTCATGTCACGCCGGTCACCGGTGTCCGACGCGTAATCTTCCATTCACGTCACGCCGGTCATCGGTGACCGACACAAAATCTTCTGTTTACGTCACGCCGGTCACCGATGTCCGACAGGTAATCTTCCATTCACGTCGCGCCGGTCATCCGTGACCGACACAAAATCTTCTGTTTACGTCACGCCGGTCATCGGTGACCGACCCAAAATCTTCTGTTCACGTCACGTCGGTCACCGGTGACCGACACATAACTTTAGGTTCACGTGATGTCCAATACCAGCAACCGTTACATAATAAGAATTCAAACGTCAAGTAATATGAAACAGAAAAATGTGAATGTTTTAACCAGTTTTTGTCATCTAGTCCCCTAATTGGATAATTAACCGATTTCTGTCAGGTGGTGTGAGAGGAGCTGGTTTGATATGGTCTCCCAGGTTGCAGCAGAGAGGAAGGGTTAGCAGGCAACTCTTCCACATCAGCGATTGGCTGCCGACGTTAATATCTGCCGCCGGCGGTGATCCGTCCAATTTGAATATCGACGGAGTGGATCTGTGGGGAGCACTGAACGACGACACCGAGTCACCGCGGAAAGCTGTGCTCCATAACATCGACGACATATTCGGTGTGTCAGGAATCACTGATGGCGATTGGAAACTTGTTCAAGGTAGAGATCAGTTGTATCTTCGGGCGGTGTTTATATTAAAAGATGATAATATACAGGTTCGTATTCTTTGGTATTTGATGAGTTTGACTTTTATTCGTAGTTCATCTTCAAGGTACTTAAGTTAATTATTTATATCTTTAAAATCATCGAGTATCCACGTCTACAATTCCGTATGTATCATTAAGAACCTGTGTACTGTCAGCTTATAAAACCCTTCTTATAAACCACATTCTCGACTCTAATTTGTTGAAATAGGAACTACTTATAACGGGCAATGGGACGGCTGGTACGGTCCATCCGGAAGGGAATGGGTCTACGACGTCGGAGGTGTGATCGGTAGCGTGGCAGGGCGAGCAGTGGCCACCATCGGTTTATCATTGTCAGCGGAAGTCATTCGTCGACTCCAAGCGGAAGCAGTGGTCAAATGTCCACCGAGAAACGATAGCGTGCCGCTCTGCAAACCTCTTGAATCGCCTTGTCTATTCAACATCCATAAAGATCCGTGCGAGTACAATAATCTTTTCAAGGAGTAAGTAACACTAGCTGGATCAAAGCTTAATTCGAGAGAATAATTTGTAACTCAACGAGGAAACTTATCGTTCTCGAATCACTTATTGATCTTGCTGCTTTGACTTCAAGAGCATCGGGAAAGATAATCTTCCTTTTTGGTATCGTGTTCAAGGTTCCCCCAGATTGCTCAGGACCTTCAAAACGGGCTGAAATTTTTGAACGTCACCGCTGTGCTGCCTGGAAATCTTCCCTGGGACGACAGAGCGAATCCACAGTTCTGGGATCACACGTGGACCAATTTCGGCAACTATCTAAACGTGTTCGAAACCGCTTCGGTGGAAGCTACCTGATGGAGCTCGAGGACAGGAGTACCTTCGTTTACCAAAGTGTTGCAAGAACTGGTCGGTTAATCGACAGGGAAATATTGTTTAATAAATGATCGAAGATGTGTCGTTGGATATTCTAATAAAACGATTTTTAGTCTTTTAGAAGATGACAATTGATTGGAGTAGAAATCCATTTATCCGAATTGTATATTTGGCGTTTATTTCTCCTTGAACTTTCTTCATTCCCTTCGTTTAATCACCGCTACCCATCATCATCACTCTGACACACCTGAAACACAGGATACCCTCTCAGAATACAACAGTTAATACGAGTAGACATTTGAACTTACATGCATCTTGATGGAAGCCACTCCAAACCGGTGGAGCACTCCTCTTCCGGTGTCGAGCAGGTGCATTTGCACTTTTCGGAGTTCCAGACCATGTTCTTTAAACGTTTGCACTCGGCCTGCTCACTGAAATTCATGCACATGCACGAGCAAGTTTCCTCGCTGTACTCCTGATACCTGTTGCAGTGATGCTTCATCACGTTGCATCGGCATCTAAAATTGAACGGACCGTTGGAGCGATGGAAAAACCTCGAGTTATTTATAGTCTTCGTGTGGTTTTCGCTAATCTGAACCGATTAACGCGGTCACGATGGTTCCACTTTAATCTGGTCCCTATTGTCACGTCCTGACATTTGATTTGATACAGTTTACCCTGCTGTGTGAATAACGAAAAGTATACGAAAGGGGTCCAACGAAGTGAATGAAGTTATGCATTTTAGTTACTGGGGCCAATTAATAGAGGTTGCATAGTAGCTAAATAGTACCTCATATTTAGTACCTAAGAGTACGTGATAGTATCTACTAGTGCTTAATAGTACGTGATAGTACTCAATAGTACTTAATAGTACCTAATAGTACGTGATAGTACTCAATAGTACTTAATAGTACTTAATAGTACCTAATAGTACGTGATAGTACGTGATAGTACTCAATAGTACTCAATAGTACCTAATAGTACGTGATAGTACTCAATAGTACTCAATAGTACTCAATAGTACTCAATAGTACCTAATCGCACCTTATAGTATCCCACAGGATGGTATCTAAGGGTTGCTAATGGTACGTAATGGTATCCAATGGTACCGAACCAACACCTGATGGTATCTAATGGTTGCTAATGGTACCTAATGGTACCAAACCCAGACCTGATGGTATCTAATGGTCACTAATGGTATTTAATGGTCCCTAATAGCACCGAATGGCACCTAGTAGTACTTTATACTACCTATTTTTTTCATTTCCTGTTTTATGGTTACCTCTTCAGATAAAATTTCGTAAAATACTGAATCGTAAGTCTAACATCTCACCTGCATTTTGTGTGCTCCTCGACAAGAACTTTATGGCACGTCATATCGTTGACCTTAAAAATGCCGCTCTTTTTAACGAGGATCGCTTTGCGGTGAGTATCAATCGGCATACAGGACAAATTATTGCCGCAAAAACCTTCACACCTCTTCACCGTCACCATACTAGGAAAATACATGTACCCAGGTTCCTGGTCCAGGTTCACCATCGTTACTCGTGGCATGCACTTCGCTTGTCTCATCGCTAGGTTATATTCTAAACGTATCCCCATGCAGTCTATCGAGAATGTTATTTAAGCAATAATATATCGAATGGTTATAACGAAGATATTGGATTCAAAACAAGGTAATATAACCACCTGGCTACTACGCGCCACTATAGTGATTGTTCAGGTTGAAAATTTTACTCCCGCAAATTAATTCTTTAGGATGAAATGTAGTATAGTGACTATTTTTGTATATGTATAATATTAAAGAACGTTGAATAGTTGTTTATATTAACCACTAGACTGCAAATACTTATGAAAATTCTTGTTTCTTTGGATAAATATCTAGAAATAAAATTACCAATAGAACTCGAAGTAATAACAATAATATTTATAAACTTCATAACAGTATTCATTTCTATGTCTAGCAGTTTAGTGATTACGTTAACTTCTTCACCATGTGATACACACGAAAAAATATTCCATCGTTGCGATTGAAGTTAATTTTTGTCTATGAAACGTAATGAACTAAATAATTCACTACAACAACGTAATAACTAATATAGAAAAATATTTTTTATACCTATCTTTATTACACCCAAATTGGAAGTTCCGTAATAGTTGGTACACTTCACCTTCCATAACGCCGTACTAAATGTGAGAATATATACGAAACACGCGAACAGTTGCATTTCCAGATGACTGACAGAGGACCCGATATCCACGACGGAAGAGTATCTATCACAGTGCGGCAACGAATATCCTGTCCGGCTTTTATATGAGCAAACATTGTGGTTTGAAGTACACTTCATTTTGAGCCGCGATAATCCGTCAGAAATTATCTAAGAACTCCATAAACGGACGTAAAAAATATTCCTTACCGCTGCGAATATGTCTCTCTTTTACGTAATGAATCGAACCGGGTTGGTTTGTAAATAGTATCTCGTTTATTTCTTCATCTATACATATCGTCGATTTTATTGGACCACAGTTTTCTGTCCAAGCGCGTACAAATTGGGAAATCAAGTGACGTATGGGGGACTCCGTTGAAATGAAAATAGGGCCTCACGTGGGCTAGAACGTCAAGATAGGTCCTTCTCGATGATCAAGAATATCTGCAAAGAAAAACGAATCGCCATTATCTTCCTCCTGTAAAAATGAACACGTTGGTCCTCGATTTTTAGCCTGTACGCTATGGCTAATGAGTGTACACAGTTTATATTCGATGTACGAAAGATATACAGGGTGCCTCATTTGAACTTTCACATACAATTATTTCCCGAATCATTCGTTAGTCCAAAAAATGTTTCAAGTGGAACTCACGTTGTTTCGATGGTGACATCTTATGATGGTCACAAATCTTATCTGGGTGGACATGTTTCTGAGATTTCAAAGTGACCTTTGATCTTTTAATGGGCCAATATGTTTTCATTTATGTAGATCTGTAGTCCATTCCGCGATGAATTCACTGACACTGATATTTTTTTTTTTCAAGGTCACCTATTACCCATCAAAACTTCCCTTTGTTTAACGTCCCTAAGACTTTTTTTACCGTAGTATTTCATCGATTTGGTTACAAACATCTTTATTGGCGTAGTATTTGTATAAATTTCGAACAGTAGTAAATGACCTTAAATGACCTTCAAAGACCAACATATTAAAGGTCAATGAATTCATCGCGGAATGGGCTACACGTCTACCTAAATGAAAATATATTGGTCCATTTAAAAAAAAAACAAAGGTCACCTTGAGATCTCGGAGGCACGTCCACAGTATACAGTAGTCCATAACCTTTTACAACAATTTCATTCAAAATGTTTGCTGTTCCTAAATTAGTCTGTTAACCTAAACTATTAACACGTTCATTCTGACCACTTCTTTAACAACGTACCTAACACAAGTATGCAAGGTGAAAAAAACGTTTGGAGAATAAAATAAACGTGTAACGGTGTAATTCTTAAATTGAGCTGATGTATTAGCGATCGTATACCTTTGGCAATGCTCCACCAGGGCAACGTAATGTAGGTAAGAAATGCGTTCAAGGGAACGGACTGGGCTCGCCTGGTCTCCTTCCAGAAATGGAACGTCTGAGTGAACCCTCTCATCGTCCACAGCGGGTTGTAAGCGCCGTCGTCCAACTCTGGCCACAGAAAACACCGTAATCGTTAGTCAACAGTCCCGACGCTATCGGAAACTCGGCGTACAGCTAAGATCCTGGAATGACTCGTAGGAAAGTGAATCTCGCGAGACATGTAGGAACAATGGCATCGGATCGAGACTCGTAGCGTCACGTTAATTGGAATCAAACGACTATATGGATCTAGGTGATCGATTTTCGTTGAACTGGGAGTATCACGGAGAGTTGTTCAAATGGTAACAGCAATACACATCGGCTACAGGTGCGCAGAACAGAGAGACACAAAGAGTGATGCACTAGCTTCGTTCGTTCTTCGAAGAGTGTCTGATTTTTTTTTTTGTCTAAACGGTTTAATCGAAACATCGTATGGACAGATCGAACGCTATGGAAATGACGGATGAAGCTTTGCCGTTTTTTTTTTTTTTTTGGGATACAAATGGATCGTCGGACGATCTCGTCAAGGCTCTACGAGCTTCCGCTCTTTCAGTTTCATCTCAAATTCTGGATGACTATGTTTATACCGGAGGTGAAACACGCAGGGTAGTTTTTTTATTTTTCACCGAATTCCCCGTTTCGATTGATTTCGATCTCACCGTCGGTCGTTTTTGTTACGAACCACCACCAGCACTACGGGACACCGTCACGACAAACCAAAATAATAATCCAGCGGCCGATCGATTTAATCACCGGGACGATACCATCGCCGTTGTAATTTCACCATCCTCATAAACACAGTCATGGTTCGAGCATGGTCACACAAATAGAGAAACAAATTTAGTTCTCTGACGATTACCATGGATTGAGCATAATGGACAGAAATGACCACTGGCGGACTGGTGTTGTACAGGCTGCTCAATAAACGATCGCTTTAGCACGAGATTATCTTCTTTGCATCTGTCTACAGGGTGTATCGTAATACGTCGGCGTTACTTTAGATCAGTGAAACTGATTATTTGACCCTGTTTCGGAGTTACGACGATGTTATTCTATTGCTATTCAGGCTTGGCGGTCTGAATTACTGTTAGAATTTTATTCCAGGGTGGATCGTAATTGGTGGTTACAATCATGAGAGGATAATACGTCATGAAAGAATAAGTTTAAAGTATAAACTAACATTTTTATAATTGGATATCAATTTTCGAAAAATGCGAATTTCGGACGTGTCCGTCTATTGTCAGCTGTTTCTACTCGTTAGATAATCAAGAATGGAATGTTTTATGCAAAACTTGTAGTTTAGATTTTCGACAGACCCTTTGGTGAGGTAAACTTACAACCGGCCACCCTGTATAATTGCCTATATTTTAATAGTCTGTTCTATAAGATGAAACTATTAATGTTAAGATTGTATTAATATATGCTATTCCTTTTATTCTAATCTTATCCCTAAGCAAAGGTCCCATTTTCTAGAAAATTATTCGAAGAAGCTATTCTCTTTTTAATCAAGAAGTAAGGTTAATTTTTAGGATAATAACCACATGATCATGCATCTAATTTACGCTACGATTGCTAAACTGTTCTAGAAACAAGGTCAAACATTTAAAATCAGGTGATTAGTTACTTGGTTTCCTGTGTCTAGTTGTTGGTACCTTCGAAGTACTACCTTGTGGCTATAGTCAAGGGGGTAGTTTAGGGTGCTAGGGGAGCATTCTTGCAGAACTATATTTGTAATAGTCTTTCTTAATACTATTCCACCTTTGTACTCCTTAGTGTATATCAACACTGATCAACAATCAGAGAAATTGTATAATTCCTTATAAAATATACGCAATTCTTTGTACCTTCTCGTTCACTGAGAAAAGGCGACGAAGAGACGTAGAATCACGATCCTCTTTATACAGGGTGATTCACGATTGCAAGGAATAGATTGTTTGGGAAATCATCCTAAGCAACAAATATATGAACACATGAACTTATTCTCAATACTTAAATAGTCACAACAATTTAAAGATTAACATTTCGAGCATTCATTAAAAAACTGAACTCTGAAAAAAGATGCCCCATGTACCTTCCACTTTCATTCCTGAAAAGTTGCTTCGCAGCAAACTTGTAATTCAACTACAGTAGCAAGAAAATTATAGAACTTCGTAACTACACAAACATACCGAAAACAAGATCCATGCTTGTATAACACTCTGCACTTAACTCGATCTCCCAAACAATCAAAGTGTCCTACATCTGCCCTGAATCACTCTGCACACCAACAACATGCATCGCAAAACGTAGTATCTGAAAGAATATTCGCAATATCTTGGATACCCAAGAACCACGAAAAGAAAAACTACCCCAAACACCCTTCGTATTACAATAAACCCTGTACCAGCGAAACACTTCGGGATCACCCCGTTCTACGTCGAAGCACTGACGAGGTATAAGAATAATCCTTTCATCTTATGGGAGTTGGTGGCCCACCTAAACTGTAGTACCGACACTTTAAAAAGCCTATGATTTTAGCGACCTCTACTTTTTGAGAACGATGATTCTGCGGTGGGCAGTGACACTAAATAATGATTTCAGCGACCTCTACGTTTTGAGAACAGTGAATCTGCGATGGGTAGTGACACTAAAATGGAAATGGGGTACGTAACCCCAGAAAAGTGGGCCACATAAATATACTGGATGAAATGTCTACTTTTATACCTCGTCTGTGGTCGAAGTAAGCCGTCGTTTATGGAACAGCCCGTGGCCTGTGCACGTGTTCGATTTAATGGGGGGGTTTGTGGAGGTGGTGTCGAGCAGGGTGGAAGAAGAATTTACCCTGTGAGCCGGGGCGGCGCGGGAGCTCGCACCAATAGTAGATGGCTGTGCCGTCTGGTGTGACACGGTGAGGGGGCAGCGGGTTCCCAACGAAGCTGCCAGATAGCGCTCGCCTCCGTCTTCGCCTGGGCAAGGTGGCGCTCTGTCGGTGTGTGGTTAGGTTGCCGCGAGTGATACGGGCGTTCGCGTTTTTGTCTTTCATCGGCTCGTCGTTTTTGTTCCGGTTCCTCGATGTGTAGTAGTCTTCGTGGTCGGAGCCAGCGGATCGTAGACGTCTTCGTCCATCCGGTCGACGGGATCTGAACATCTCGTCGTCGCTGAGCAGTCGATGCTCCTCTTCGTTCTCCAGATTGTTGATCCTCTCTTGATTGATGTGCCCGGTGCTGTACGGCCTGCGTTTCCGATTATTGTCCTGCTCCTCCTCGTATCCCAACGGCAGCTCCTCCTTGCCGTGGACCATAATGGCGCCTGCGTTCAACTTCCGGCGAACGTTGTCGTCCGTGAGACACGCAGCTGCCGGCACCAGTATCTCGCTACCGACCTCGATATGGTTGTGCTGGTAGTTCTGGAGGCCTGCCCACGAAACAACACGTTCGACTATCTGCACGCTACGTCTCGCGGTTTCCACGATGCCCTTACATTCTTGGTCTCCTCGGCCGGGAAACTGTCTCAGGATCGTTCAGATCCTTAATCGCGCGATGCAATGTTGCGGTAGGCGATCCTTGGTGCGAGTGTTTGTAAGTACGGAAATAATTCTTTGTGCGAAGATTTGTGATTTATTACAGCTGAGCAGAGTTTAATATAAATTGGAGACTATTGGCCAGAAGTGTTAGGTTAGGGTTAGGGTATGTATCTAATAGAATCTGGTTAAACACTAAGAAAGTGTTGCTGGACTTGAAGTACTCTCTAGGACAGGCGTTGGCAACCTATGACCCGCGGGTCAACGTTAATCTATTATTTATATTTTCTCAAAGTGTTTGTTTCATGTTTATGTTTTATAATTTGTTTTTATATAATATACTTTATTTACGGAACCCGAGTGGGTCTTGAAATTATCAAATGGGTCATTTGGTGACCCGCGGGTCATAAGCTGCCGACATCTGCCCTAGGAAATACTAAAAATCCCTAGGAAACCATTATTGCTAATATGAAATAATTTATCGTCGATAGAAACGTACAGTAAAATATCATTTTACTAGAATTTAATAAAACCTATGAAGTTGGTAGGTGTGTGAATTAGTTGTGTCCAGTCTTGGAGCATTAGTTTCATTAAGTTATTGTGGAATAATACATTCCACCTTCATTGATTGTCAGACCTGGTCTCACACCTCTGGCCGATAGTGAATAAATAAATATGCTGTAGACTTTATGCACATATAGCAGGAATATGTTCCTCGATATCACTTCCTCCACAGAATTTGCCTGAAAGTTTCGCAGAAAAGAACTTCGCCTTGCACTTCCCGAAGGATCACCTACCCTTAATCGCATCACGCATTCAGGGTCTGTTTCTATTTCACAGTTTCTCCACGAGAGACAAAGAACGATCGTCCCGAACACGTAGGAGCACGCTCACCGTCTGTTTCGTGATAGGCCTCCTTGCGGTTCGGCGAATTCTCGTTACCGGCGCGTTCCCACGAGTTACGTTGCTTTTGCTTGGGACGTTGTTGCTTGCCGGGTAGATTAGGGGATCTTCTTCGTCTGGCGCGAGGACTCCTGTGATTTCCCGGCGAGCCCCGGCCGCCCCAGCTGCTATCCTGTGGATCGGCTACAAAGGAAAGAGCCGGCATGGCACGTGCCATAGATTAGAGACAAGGCATTATATCTTTTCTCCCGTTTCGTTCGTCTTTAATACTCTGCGTTTAAATTTGTTACGTCCATTCGTTTATTTTGTCGTTGTTGTTGTTTATTTCTGTTTCGTGACAAATGTACGCGGGGTTCGCGTGTGGTGGTGTTGGTGGTGGTACTCTAAGCTGTTTTTCTTCTCGCGTCGCACGTTATTATTCGTTTCCGAATCTCTTCCGTTGAATAATTGTCGGATAGCTGCGCCTAGATCGATACACTCCGCGCGTCACGATGGCACCCGACCGGTCCGAGGGATACGATCGAAAATCAACGTGTGCGGTCCTTCGAGCATCGAAGGACGATAAGAGGATTCGCAAAGAAAGAGCACTCTGCAATTAGTTTTCTGTTACTTCAGGCAAACTGGATCGGACGTAACTATAGAATTCGGCGATAGATCGGCAGAGTTAGAGAACGAAAGTATATATATACATATAGGCTGTGAGTTTGCGAACAAATAAAACATGCGATTCTTGTGTTCAACTGAACAGAAGTTGTCGGAAGTTCAAGAATCCGAGAAGAAAAGTGTTTGTCACGCGATGTAAACGGAACATGTTCAATACTATATCTTCTCTATGTGGCAGTTTCTAAGCTATTGAAGAGAAAGAATTGTGCAAAAGACACAGTAACACAACCGCATGCACGATCGATCCTGAAGGGCGCAGGCAGAGAAAAAAATAATAGGATAAGGACGAGTGAAGATATATAGTGTCTGTTAACTTCCGTCCCGTTTAGATTCATCGATGACGCGGATGAATCGTCCTAGGCGGAGTGGAAAACTTAGCTTCTTAGTTACCGTCTCGAACGTCCCCGGCCTCGATCTCGCTAAGACCGTTCGCCATCGAGTCCAGTCCTTCGTTCTCCGATCTGGCTTTCGTCGCGGCGGTGTCAGGCTTCGTTCTCCAACCGCCACGAACGAAATTGTTTAAGTTCGCACTCGGGTCGGACAGCCTTCGTTGATGTCGATACATGAACAGTTCCTCGGCGTCGTCCCAGTCCGCGTCCCACAAGGAATCCGTGGCGCAGTAGCCGGGCTCCGAGGTGGGGGTCTCCGCCCCTGATCCCTTGGGCTTCGTCACAGCCATTTCCGCGTGTCCTTTACCTGCAAGACCGTAAGTCAACGCGACGGACCGTGGAAGACATTAAAGGATAGTTCATGGATTATGGATTTGAGTTTGTTCCATCGGTGAACTATACGAGTTTATGAATTTTGCATCTATATTTCGAAGTATCTGCACACGATTGCTAACAAGGAAAGACACGAAATTGTTCCCTTCCGATTTTGATAAAACTTCGTATGTCTGTTAAGCAGTCAAAAATAAGGGATACGTATTCTTTTTTATCGGCTGAAACGCGACTTTGTAGGGTGAAACCACCTATGTCTGTTAAGCAGTCAAAAATAAGGGATACGTATTTTTTTTTATCGGCTGAAACGCGACTTTGTAGGGTGAAACCACTCCTCGAAGTTTCAACCCGAAAGTATTATCTCGAAAACCAGATGAGATACATGGAAACTTCTAATGGACGAGGTTTGCGGTTTTTTATGTAGAATAATGTGGTGCTAACAAATTGTCCAAAATATGATTTGTTTGTAACAAAAAATTTCGGATCAAAACTTCGAGGGGTTTCACCCCTTAAAGTAGCGTCTCAGCTGATAAAAAAAATACGTATCCCTTATTTTCGACTGCTTAACAGACATACGAAGTTTCATAAAAATCGGAGGGAGACACTTCCATGCCTTTCTTTGTAAGTTGAAGTTCCTGCTATACGATTCTGGTCAGTAAAGATAGTTATGTTTTAAAAGAAAAAGTATTTCATGGCACAAATTTCGACAAAATAATATATGTCGAAATAAAAATTTCGATATACTTCTTCCTCAGTTGTAATAGGCTTTCAATAATGTGTTTTCACCATTTCATATATTTCGTTCTGTTCAGCGTAGTTTATGGTAAGAGATCCGAGTGTGCAAATACTTTCTGTGTTGACTATACATATTTTTTTAAAGTCGAAAAGTGTAGACTCTTCTATCAGGACTAGTAGGAGGTTTAAGCAAGCAATTGCAAGTGGAGCTACAGGATAAAGGATGGACTGTTCACAGAATTACAGTGGAGCAATAATTATTTCGAGAAATTCACCATGTTGATCACGATACTTTTTGAACGAAGTTTTAAAAAGGTCGATGTAGATTAAGAGTTAACAAAAGAAACTAAAGAAAGGGTATTTTGTGTAACAGAAAGATTGAGTGTTCGTACCACGAGGTCCCTTCATCCGAACGAACTCTATTCTCTGCGAAGCTGCGCCGGAAAACAGGCCGAAGGTCATGCGTTGCGCCATTTTGGTGCTCAAGCTCGACTGCAAATCGAAGCGACGATATTATATTTCGGAAACGCGTGTGTCGTTGCTCGAACTGAATGGAATTTTAAAAGACGTACCCTCGCGTCGTAGACTTTCTTCAGAGCATCGTATCTGATAGAACCAAGAAAAATCACACCCTGAATAGCGCCCTCTCGGTCGGACGCGACCAACTCCACGCACACCATCTCGCCGTCCCTGACTAGAATATCACAGAAAACTTCGTCGAAATTGTCCACCATGAAACAGATGTGCGGGTAGGTCATCTCTTCGAGATCCCCTTTTGCGTCCATGCGACGACGACTCGGACTGGCGTACACCTTTTGCGAGTGTCTACGTAAAACCTGAAAACAGTATTCGATCGTTAGTAACGTGAAATATGATGAAGATTCGAAAATTTACATGTTCGTTGGATAAAAATTTTCTTGTGCACAATTGCTCGCATGAGGTCTTGTAGGACTCCAATATCTCAGCCATTATTCAGCCATTACCAGAATGTCATACAGAAGACCTAATTAGGAAACTATTATAGAATTACGAATTTATGAAGACAATGACCCCATGCGAGTAATTAAAAGGTTAATAAGGTATTAAAAAATTCTACTAGTGATTAGAAAAACAAGTCTACTGTCAGATCTTTTTTGAAGGTAATTCAATCGTCTTGAGCTTATCACTTCTATAATCTTTAGATCCATTTTGGATCCAAACCTAACATTTTAGACTTTCATTTTGTTCCATTTTGTCTTCATGTTTTCAATTGTATTCTGCGATCATTAACATTGTTTCTACGCAATTATTTATATTTATCTAAGTTTGAGAAAAATATAAGAAAATTGGTACAAATATATCTGTGTGTTTCTTGTTCCTCAGGATTATGTTAAATTTAATAACTGAACCTAGTGTCGTAGAAAGGTTCATGATTTAAAGCACCGTTTATAATACAATAATTCTGACAACTATGTTACGTTCTTTCACTTATAAATTAAATGTCAAGTGGTTGGAAGATGAATTTTTAGAAGATTACAAGTCGAAGAAGAATCCTGTGGATCAATTTAGTTCCAATCAGTTGAGCATCGAACTCTGATCTTCAGTGTTAGCACTTTCTGCTCATCTTCGCCTACTGTCCTAAATATCAACAATCTTAGCAGAATTAAAAAGATTTACTGTTCTGACTCTCAACAATCCAGCATGGTCTGTGACAAAAGATTTTCCAACCATACGACAATACCGAACTCGTTATTGTTAAGTCTAGACTCTTTTCGAGCCGGTGTGCCTCACTTGCAATTCCTTGGGGCTCGTTCTTGTGCAGATCGCTAACGTGAGCGTGTAGTCGAACTGATGTACGACCAGGTTCAGGTACACGGTTTCCTCCCAATCGATGTCGGGATCGCCGATCGGCAGTTTCTTGCTGTCCTTCCGGAACACGTCCACCTCCGTCTCGAACTTCGGCAGGTACCGGGACGAGGTCTTCACGTGTTTCTTACGCACGAAGAAGAGCAGATCGTCGCCATCGATCGTGTGCTCCGCTTGGAAAAGGAAATGCCGGACGAACAGGTCCGTCCAGTAGGTTGTACCTTGTAATACCACGAAGCCAGAGTCTGCGGACAGATTTCGAAACTGATCGTTTACAGGCATATTATAATGGAACGAATACAGTGACTTATTGAATGTTTATGTGGAATTGGAGGTAGCAATCGGGCAGGGTGTGATTCTATATGAAAGAATGAGTAGAAAATATAGAATAAAATTTTTTTATCTAAGACTTTATTGTCGAGATAATTCAATTTGAAGATCCACTGGATGCGCGTGTAATTGAATAGGACCTGGCTAGCGCGTCTGTTCATGGCATTCCGTTTCTACTTACGATTGTACCGTGAGGAATACATGCGTTTCAGATTAATTTTCAAAGCCGATTTTCTCGAAAACGAAGTCTGAAATGAAAAAATTTTATTCTATATTTTCGACTTAGTTTTTCATGTATAATCACCCCCTGCTCGGTTGTTACCACCAGTTAAGGGACATCCTATGTAGCGGGGAAACAATTGTGTAAAAATAAATTCGATTCTTTTTTTTTTTTGCGAAACTCGAGTAGAACGGATGAGAAAAATAACAAAGACGTCAGTGGTGGCGAAGGTCGCCGATAAAAATAAGAAAGCCTGATTTGCTTCAGGAAGTATCGTCTCTCGGTATTTCCGAGTATTATCGTGCATTCGAGTGGATATTAGACGTGATCGCGGAAAACAATAGACTCACGGGAAGTACCGAAGACGACCGAATCTCGGGCTGGCCGATAATCGATAATAATATTTAGGAACGACGACGATGCTGCTGCGTAATTGCAGGTTTTACCATAATCTTGGCGACAGATCCTTCGATTTGTCGTGGATTTAGTGGGCAATGTAAAACTCGATCCTATCGATCGTTTATGGTAGACGTAAATGGAATGCGTGTTCTGCATAAATAGCGTGTTTATGACAAAATTTTTTTATTATACATGGTGTTGCCAAGATAAATATGTAGATAGATTTTAAAAGCGTATTGTGTTCGGTTCTTGAATAGCATAAGGTCATACCTATAAATATAGATTCAAAATTTTTCCATTCTTAAATATCAATACGTTTGGTTTACTTTAGAATTTTATGTCTGACGTAAATTCAATATATTTTTTCTTATCTCTGGACGTTGTTGGATGACCAACTCTTTGTCAACACTCACGTCTGGGGTGTCAGACAGGTTAAACATACTCAACCGCGTCAAAAACATAATACCCATCTTTGAATGGAAGAAAACCTAATTTATTCTTTTTCTTTCGATGTTCAACGTCGCAGCGACTTGTTGGCCATTAGCAACTCTTTAGAGTAGATTATATGTATTTCCTGGTATAGTTTCGGGTTCTTTAGGAATTTTAAGATACTTATTGTTATGATACTTATTGAATTCGTCTTGACATCCTGTAACAGATAGGCGTAAAAAAAATTATAGCTGCACTTGCAAAAAATTGAAGGTGACCTTGAAAAATCATGAAAAAAAAGAGTTGACAAAAAATTTCCTATAATCACGTTGAAGCTCTCTTGAAACCATGCTATACCTAGTAAAAACATTTTCAATCGGTCTCCTAATAACAGAGTAATCTCTACTCATCACGATTCGTGGTTCACCCTGTATACTTCGGTTACACATTGCATACAACATACAGAGTAATTATTTCCATACATTTGTCATCCGCCTAAGAACACCAGTGCATTCCGGCGTGAAAAGCAAGGTAGTCACTCACACGTGAAACCTGGAATGGAATTGAGTCGTGCACTTAATTATGCAGCGACAGGGGATTACGTCACACATCGCGAATACAGAACGAGCGTGTTTACGGCGATTCCCCGTCGTTTTAACGAACGTGGTTTCGTTAGTACAATCTGTCGCTCGGTGCTAACGCAAAAACAGATACCACAATAGGGGACCGTGATCACGACTAATTAACAAGGAACGCAAAAAAACTTTCGGTTCCGAGATACCGGAGCAAATAAAGTAAAGAACAGGAAATTTCATGGTCGAAGGAGCGTCAGACATCCGTGAGCGATGCTGGAAGGAAAAGTGTTCAGCTGGAAAATCACTGCAACACAGAAAACAAAAGAATTACAAGTAGAACGAGGTGTCTACTTGTTGGATTAATCGTTTAAGACGTTTCGATGTCATCGACCTCGGCGATCCTGTAATTATGCACGCAAAACGAATGTAAATGTATTCGTCGCGAACCACCGTGAACAACGCACTTCGCGTCGATCGTTTGTTGATAAACACGAATGATGTCATATCGTCTGACAGGGACAGGAACATTTAGTAGATTCGAATAGAATCGTTCGTGTGGAGAATATTGAGAGGAACAGGAACCGAATGATTTCGTGAAAACGATGAATACGTAGAAAAATCCGTGGCTCGTTTCACCCTCGACTCGCATCGATCGGCGAAATCACCCTCGCAGCGAACCCCTGGTGGACCCTAAACAAAAGGACCAGTTCCCTTGGGGAACGCACCCCACGACACGGCTCAAGCACACTCGCGACCTCCCACGAAACTTGGAAAGCGAACTCGACCCGCGGTTAAATCCTTCCTGCGACAAGTACGAACCGTTTTCGAGCTTAACGGACCTAATGCCTTCGGCTCTCGAGGCATTCAGAATCAACCGAGTCACGATTCAATCGACTTGTTCCATGAAAGGTACCGCTGTAACCCCATGTGAATTCATCGATTACTGAAAATAATAATTTAAAAATTAAATGTTTGTTGGTTAAATTCTTGAGAGATTTTTTTTCTAGTTAAATCTCTTTTGGAAATTAGTTTTACATCCTGTTTTCTTGAATACATAATTCAATTGTTTGGGTTGTTTTTGGAGAAAATTCTTGGGTAATTTGTTTAGGAGTATTGAATGTGTGGAGAAGAAAGTTTATTTTCTAGACACTATAGAAAAATCATGTTAAATTGATTATATGGATTCAATTTTCGAGGTTATAAAGGATCAAGTCATGTTCCCTGCAGAGTCGACCACCTGCAAGTACTCCGTTACAAGTGTCATAGCAACGCATGCATAAGGGGCCTTTTCTCCAAGGCAACTATCAGCATGACAAACGCTAAAAGGACAACGTGTGTAAATTTTTATAAGATCAACAATCGTAGTATGATATATAGTATGATACACATTCTCGTTGGTAAACAAGCGTGACGCAACATACGAAGTTGTTGTAGGTCAGAAATAAATATTCTCAAGGCAATATTAACATTCAACAGGTAATACTTATACCAATGGGAAGTAACAAAAATAGTACACGATATGAAGTGCCTAATAAGATCAGAGCAAGAAATAAAGTCTCCGGTAATCGTGACATTTCCGTAAATACAATAGGCATCTCAGTATTGATGACCGGAATTGTACATTCTAGAACGAAAACTAACATAGGAGTCCTGTTAGCAGAGTGTCTACATAAATGAAAATCCTCAAAAACTTATTTGCCAAAAAGGAAGAGCTACGCACTCAAATATTTATAGAATCCTTTCAGCTAAGAAATTGCGTACACACAAGAACGACTTGTTTAAGATTTCGAAGAAGCAGACTTAAGAATCCTTTCTCCAGATCATTTATCATCCAAAATATTCTTGACAGCCTGAACCTATTTATATCTTCTGAAAAACACGAACTATCACATACAGAGAGGAGAAACAGACTTCAGAATCCTCCCTCCAAGCCACAGAACAAAATGAAACGCGTTGAACCTATTAAGACATTAACCCAGCTGCAGCACACTTGGTTCAAGGCCGTAGGTTCTCATTCATACCGGGGAAGTAAGAAACAACACGCGCGTTGGCAACAATTTCCTCTATTTCCCTCTTTCTCCCCGTTCCAATTCCACTCTTCTAAAAAATAAAACCATTTCTGACGAAAATAAAACTTTTTCAAAGATACCATACGATCAAAATAGCATTAACAAAATTACAAATACGATTATATCACAACAATTCTCACTGCTGAAATTTTCGGGTGTAAACCTTGTCCTTGTGGAATCATTTTCCCAACGTTTCGCAAGCATTGCACCTACCCTCATCAAGGGTTCGAAAGACAAACAGATATTCCCCATACCGCACCACTAATATACTAAAACTTTCTCATTGGATACCAATCAAAGGACACTCCTAATTCTTCAACTGACCACAAATCAAAAATATCACTATGTCTTTCGACTCCCCAATGAAGCCAGAAACATTAAGAAAATAATGCCAGAAGGACACAACTTACACCCAAAAGCCTCAACCCTGAGACCTGTACGATGCCAAGCCACGAAAACCTCGATCAGATCCAAACAATTCCAACGGGTCGACAAAACAATATCTCTACGAACCATCCTTGAGCATTTGCCGTAGCTCCTTGGTCCTCTGGAAGTTGATCTCTTCGAGAAGCTGCTCGAGCATGGTCGGTGGCCTGGCGAGGCCCGAGGTCGAGCTGCCCGCGAGATTAGCCATGCCCCCAGCTGGCCGCCGTGGCGGAGCGTCCTCCTCGACGGTTCCGTTTCTTCTTCGTCCTCGCTGGATCCCACCTGTCCGCCGCGCAACCGACGCACGTTTCGCGTCGCGTCGAATCACGCACGGGCGGACCCAATCCGAGCGACGGTCGACGAATCGGTGACGTGACACTTAGCGACGATCGCACCGAGGTGGCGAGGGGTCATCGTGAGCCTTCTACGAGACTCAGCGCCGGCATCTCTCGCGCCTCTCTCCTGATGGATTACGTCACGGTTCACTGCTATTCCCTTCACGGCGATTCCAGCTGATTCAAATCCTATCGCACCGCTCTTAGCTGGCCCATAACGACGCGTCACCTCGAGTTATTGCTTCCCCCCCTTCCCTATCAGGATGTATCACGATGATTGTTTTTCTTCGAGCGTGTCTCCCGCTCTGCGGCCACGGTTTCGAGCTTTGCGTTTCCCTGACGGAGAGAGAGACACACCGGGAGAGACCCCCCGACGACACACGACTGGTTAACTAGCGGTCTGCACCGCTCGATGATTCCGCGCATGCGGAACGCAACCAAAGCTTCCGTCGCGCCATCGACGCGCTGTTTTCGAACGGATTTCCTCGATGGGGTAATTGCGAAGTGACTCATTTCGTTCACGCCTGTATTACGATGACCGATTGAACATCACTGTCGACGTGATAGGCCGGTTTTGTGATTATTTTCGGAGTTTTGTGAGCTTCCTGTGGGCGCGAAACGTAGTACAGACATCTTTCGATTATCGTCTGGCTTGTCCTACACGATTATTGTCCAGGAGTTAGTCGTACCAGTGGTGAGGGGAGTTCGTTGACCTTTCGCTTTTGTTAACGAGGCTCAGGCTTTGGGCATAAAACAAATTTACGATCTCAAGCGTTTCTTCCTATTCGATTATTGTCCTGGCGCGGACCCAGGTTCGAGATGATAATCGAAAGTAGACTGTAGTTTCCTAAGAAATTCAATGGTCTGCAGGGTATTTATGAAAATGTGGGTAGTACAGATACCTTTCGATTATCGTCTGGCTTGTTCTACACGATTATTGTCCAGGAGTTAGTCGTACCAGTGGTGAGGGGAGTTCGTTGACCTTTCGCTTTTGTTAACGAGGCTCAGGCTTTGGGCATAAAACAAATTTACGATCTCAAGCGTTTCTTCCTATTCGATTATTGTCCTGGCGCGACCCAGGTTCGGGACGATAATCGAGAGCAGTCTGTACTTTCCTAAAAAGTTGAATGCTCTGCAGGGTATTCATGAAAATATGGGATAGTTTCAGAGGGGCAAAACCCTTTATATTTCTCAATTATAGTCCCATCGCACGATCATGCATTGTTTCTCAGTCTAATAATTTATGTCGAGGAAACTGAACAATGTTATGTGCAATGTTATTTAAAATCATAATACACGATTTAGTATTTAGGGAATCAGCTGAACCCTTTTGTCACATTCTTTTACAACCTTATAAGGAAGATATATTGTATTGCATAAAATATTGAAAGTAGAATAAACTTTGCAAAATAATACCGCAAATGTAAAGTGACACTCTTTTTTATCAGAGAATGGCAAGTAGTTTGAGACACAGTGGAAACAGTGGCATGAAGATACCATTTGATTCCGTTTCTACGATAGTAGCGCTGTCCAACCACTCGGATTCGTCAGTTCCCCTACTCTGGCAGCATTACCTACCCTCACTCTGTTTCAACAGATTCCATGTTTGCATATGCGTGTTCCACAATGTGGCGCGAGGAACAGCATGTAGGAAGCACTGGACTGTAAAGTCTATGTAGTTCACTTAGGTCTACCAAGCGTTGCTCTAATGTTCATGCAAGGCTTTGACATGTTTGTTGTATGAAAATCTTGGAAAATATTGAAGCATAGACATCACAGGAACTATCTATAATTATAATAATTTTTCGAGATCTGTACGCTATATTTTGTAGATATGCTCATGAAAAAGTTTTTAACTGCCTTTCAGGAACATTCTGTGTACAAGGTGCTTCAAGAAAATGTGACTACTTTACAGGGTGTCCAAAAAAGTGGGTCTAAGACAACAATAAATGAGGCAGACATTTAAATGATCCCGTTTAGCTATTCGATTCTGTTTATTTTCTTTTGTTTCCATAAAAAAATACTTGTATACAGGATGTTCAAAAAATGGGGTTTAAGGCTTTGGCCAAAATCAATCCTTTCGATGAAAAATGCAGTAGTATATTTTCAGGTTTGTTCCAAATCTTCGATATGTCTTCCTTCCGTTTCAATAGAAAACTCAGATTGCAGTACAAACAACTGGCTGCAGAAGTATTCTCATTGGCAAGTCCATACATAAAATGCATATTTGCCATTTCCACGTTAGAACAATAGGCGGACATTGTTAACGACGTGATAATATCACTAACCGTGCTATGGATGAATACTGAAGAGTTGTACTAGGTAAGCGTCTATCAAGTAATCTCTGTTGATATTAGTAACACTCTGATGTTGGCATACAACCTTGAATTAATGTGCTTCTAAACCAATTCTTCTGTTTACATTCAACACGTTGCGAAGTGAACTTACGACATCGAACGCTCGTAAATATAAAAGTTGATTTTACCTCGAAAGGATTTTACTAAGAACATTTTTTATTCCACTCGGTGAGCACTATAAGTTCCTAAATCTTTGGACCCCTTTTCTGAACATCCTGTATAGAAATGACATTTCTTTAGATAAACTGAAGAAAATATACAGAGTGGCCTAGCTAAGTGGGATCAGTGAAATATCTCCCTTATTTATTGTTGTATGACACATGTCAAAAGGTGGTGGAAGGAATTTTTTCTTAGGTTCATTTTGTCACTATATTTTAAGGTTATCGATATTTTTTTATCAATATATGTATTTTTTTCAATATTCGCTCTATAAAGATGTCGAAAAAAAATACAGAGTTCCATTTAAAAAAATACCGATGACTTCGGAATTTCGTTAAAAAATGACCTTGAAGAAAGTTCTTTCCATCGTTACGTGTGTCCATTGAAATATAGTAATAGTTATAAAAGTATTTTAACTATCCAAGTGCTTGTATGCAAGTACTATTACTCATTATTGTTACATTCAGGGGCTTTGAAAGAACGTTTAAGTAATGTGCACAGTAGAGAATTACTATTATGGTTCGTGCGTGATTATCCGGTTCCTAATTGTAACTCAAAATCGTCCTGACCCACATTTGAGTTATCCTACCGCGAAAGCGTTAATGTTCCGTTTTTGGAGTTGACGTGTGGTCATTGGACAGGGACCATTGGTGTATGCGGGCGTGGGTGTTTATCGTGGCCGTGTTATCTGGAAGACGCTGCTTCCAGGGAGATAGGACGACCCGAAACTGACCTCGTGACACTAGATAATAATTCCCTGCCGTGGCTGGCCGACTTGTCGCGGGATTCCAGATGGAACTATTTAAACGAGAATAAAATTCATGTCCTTGCTTTTCGAACCTCACGTTTTAAATCACTATGCGTGTTTTTTCTGCTACAATGTCTAAGTTTAATCAATGTTGCTCTGGAAATTTGTTCCTTTGTAAATATAAAATAGAGAATTGAAACAATTGGAAGATAGATTTATTAGAATTGTTTGTTCAATATTATGTACAGCACCTGTAATGTACAAATTAGGGCAGCAATTCATCAATCACATGCAGTATTGCTTGATTATATTTTTGATAAATTAAAGTCTTTTTTAGAATAATTTTTTGCTGTAATTCTATGGAAATTTTAATTTTGCACGTTATTAATCACACTGAGCAACAACTTATTGTTCTATCTGATTTAAGCAACCCCAATCATACGTGCCATGTTTTACATTATTAATATATAGAAAATAATTTTTCTGTAATATATTATTATATTGTCTTCATAATATGGTAGTCAACGTGTTAAGTGCACTTCCCGGTCAAATCCCCGGTAGGCAATGTTTATGATTTTTTTTTAGGAAAAATTATACAATTTAAGGTAATGAAAATTGTTGTACTTCACTGTACTACAAATGTAGAGTAAGAGAAATTTTCGATTTTTTGAAAACATTTAATCGGGAAGTGTCCTTAAACGAAACAAGGAACGCGTGTATTCGTTGGATTTCGCTGCGTTTCATTTTCCGAATCAGCGAGGCAGACTTTCCCGATCCGCGGCACTGTCCGTCGTCCGGTCCCGTCATCTCGTTTAGTCGTGGACGATCGTTCTCTCGTCTTACTTAACATCCCGGCTGGTCTAGTGCAACAGCCAGCGATACCGAGTTGGCAGTGGTCTTCGCGAAAGAAATCGACGTGATCGTGTCGGTGAGTGCAGTGGCGTAGATGGTTTCCAATTCTCTCGATCAACCAATATTGAAATTATCGACTGTTTCGCCAATAATTTAAATTTCCATTGAATATTTCATCCTTTTTCGGTACATCGAAAGAAAACATCGAATTACTGGATACAATGTGAAAAATTTATAATTACCTGTATCGATGATCTCTGTTTTTTTTTTTAAACAGTGAAAGATTTAGTTTGTTCCGAAAGTCTCGCGAAACGTGAGGTGCAAAAGTATCCTTATTTTTTTCTGATTCAATTTACGTTCATAAGTATCAGACAGAGTTGGGAACAATTTTATTCGAATAGAACTCAATAAAAAGCAGCAGTACCTGAGAGCGTTATCTTCACGTTTAAACAGTTAATGATATTACCTAATTGTTCACCAAGTGTATATTCGTTCAAGAAAAAGTATTATATTGTTATATGAATTGGAATTTCTACGTTTGATCAATGAAAACTGATGAAGTACTTTTTAAAATTTTTTATTCGTGATTCGAAACTCTTCGTCTAGATAATAGATTCGCCCATTTCTGGTATCAAGACTTTTGTTACTTTTAGTGACGTATATAGTCCTTAACACCCCCAAACAATATTTATTTCAGACCTTCAATAATTTCGTAATGGCTCATTATTAGCCTCTGGACCTTTATGCATTTACATCATATAAAAAACAGTAACGTAGAGAACTCAATGTACTTATACCTCATCTTTTGGAACTACTACTACAGTAAATGAAATTTTGCCTAATTTTACCTGCTCCATATGTATTAATCAAACAGTAAATTTACATAAAGTCTCTCACCCTATTAATTGTCTCATATTCGACAAGTGTCCCAATACTTACGAACGCGAGTATATTTATAGATACGTTGTCGTGAAAAATTCATTGTCCTCGTGTTTTGAATGTCTGACACGAGGTATCTGGCGCAAGATGCTATCAAGAATTTATTACAGATGCGGCCCGGATACATTTGCACGTTCACTGTATATCGTTACGTCGTAATCGTATCTGGCCATTTTTACGTGGCGCACGGCGTTAAGTAATCGACTTCCAGTGAAATGTAAACCGCTTCGAATATTGGCCCCGGGCGATACATACAACCCCCGAAGCGATGGAATCGCGAGCGCGTGAAAGGGCGAGAGCCTCATAAAAGAAGCTGCATCCGACCGCGTTCCGCCACTTTACGTTTCTCGTACCACACGGCATTTAATTGACAACGAAAGTTCATCGATCTTTTTTAATTAACGTTCTTCGATCGTGGTCCTCGGCGAGGAAGTGATCGTCCGATTGGGAACGGGTGCGTGCAAATAGAGGAAAGTGCGGTCGTCGGGAGAGATTCGATAAGCCTTGGGTACACGGTGTCGATTGTTGACGCTCGAAAGTTAATAGAACGGTAATTGAGACATTCGACGCGTCTGTTGACCGAGAATCCGTTTCTTGAGTTAAGAGGGTGATTAGCAATTTCGAAGCTGGATTTTGATAACTCTGTTGATGTTACTAGACTGCGAGTGTTTATGTGAATATGGATTTTTAATGTGGAATTATTGGAAACAGGAGTTTAAGATAAATTTGTTGAATTGAAACTTCTTGAAGTTTCTTCGAATTTGATTAAACATTTTTTCACTATTTCTGATAAGCTAAAGTCTTTGAAAATTGGATGCTGTGAAGACTAGCAGTAATCCAATCGTCAAAAAATAGATCTTGTGTAGTTAAGCATACAGATGTTATAGAATTTCTGGAATTCAAAATTTCGTCGGTTGTGGGTGGTAGTCTGCAGAGAATGTTGACGGTAGACAGTGTGTTAGGGCAATCGCGCATGCCATGAACGCATACAATTCTCGGTCTAGTAATTCCATTTCTCAGAATTTAATTATGTTACATTTTTGGTTATTGCTCTTGCCCTTGAAAATGAAAATTGATATTTTGTATTTTCCATTTGACGTTTTATCTGCAACATCAGACTATTCTGTGGTACTAATTTCGCATACAAAAATGAGACTGTTTCATAATTTTGCAGTTAATACAGTTGGAGCAGTTTATTATTACTGCGAACTCATCAGATGTTACTGAAGATGTACTACAAATATCATTTTATCACTGTGAATCATACTAACTTTATGCAGCATACACACGGCTTAAAACGATTAACTAACCGTATCTTTTTGGTATCTTGTACAAAATTTTTTTTCCATAAAATCAAGAACCAATAGTTATTTTAGGACTATTAAAAACATTTTTGAAAATATTGTGTTTATAAACAATGTGTTTGCTCACGATAAATAACGAACTAGTGGTCACAGTAACACGGATTTTTTAATGTTTGGATGTTATTTAAAGAAATTTCGTACTGACGATCGGCAAGAAATATTTCAGATATTGCCACTAAAGTGATAATATAGGAGTCTACCGTAGTAAATAAATGCAGTTAATGGTTTAAAATGTCGTATATGGTGCTTGTCAATAATTCCTGGAAAGTTTTTCACAAACACAGAACTAGATTTACAAACAAACACGAACAATCACACTAAAACTTGAAGTGGTAAATTATTTCATTAATCAAAAAGGTGAATTTCGCACATGTTTTGTTCTCTGTTTGATTCGACACTGTCAGCAAATGTCGCGAAATCATCCTCGCGACGAAACGAACTCTTCACAGAGGTGACGAAAGTCCCTCGAGCTTCTAATTGTTTTATGCAAATTCCCTTGCGCGACGATACCATTATTATTTTTAATTAGTCGTGACTCACGCGAAGTCGGTCAGGGGCGTGGAACCGCGAAGTCTCGATGGCGAACGAGAATTCGACCGCGCCAGTTACGAATCGTTTTCTTTTCGCTGCTTTCGCAATCTTCGATGGAAAACGTGCGATCGATTTCCATCAGGATCATCCCTATTTCGACTACGTAAAAACTGCAGTTGCGTGAATTTGTATCACACTTGGAAGCCTAGGAACTGAACGGGGCAAAGATTCATTTTTTTTTTTGGAAGCTTCGTTTTGGTATGTGTGAACAATTTCTGTCTTCGATTGGAAGTGAAGATTCGTTGTGTGTTAATTCAGTGATATATGTCTATATAAAATAAATACAGTTTTAGAAGTAATATAGACCGTTTTAATAATTGGAACTGTTAGTGTGAACCCAGTAGACGGTTTTCTTCTAAATTCTTGGTATATATGTACACATTATATTTAATATAATGTACACATTTTATATAGTATCCGGTATTCGATCGAGCGAAAGAGAAAGATAGGGCAAGTGAACACAGCAATTTAATTGAAAGTCATTTAAACTATTATACTCTTTCATACACAATGTCGCAAAAAATGGGATAATTTACAACATGCCTATTCCTTATGCAAATACAAATTGAGAAGTCCTTTACCGTTTTGTAATTTGAAGTTCCATTTTCGAGATATTAGCAATTAAACGAATTCCAATCAGCTGATTGCACGTACGTGTGAACCATCGCTCAGCTGATTGGAATTCGTTAAACTGCTAATATCTCGATAATGGAACTTCAAATTACAAAACGGTAAAGGACTTTTCAATTTGTAATGTCCCATCTCTTTGGAACACCCTGTATATCAAACACAATTTATAATTACTTTACTCTCAATGTAGTCATTAACTTGTTGAGTGCTCTAGGCGCATGTATTGAACGAATAACATTGTGATAGATTGTGCACGTACAATCTGTCTAATAAGATCGTGAGTCAGGCTACCTGGATTCACCAGAGTTTTTATGATACCTTCATCCAGGTACAAATTTTGCCGGTCACGCTCTCACTACACAGATTGTATATCGTATCTTTGTTATACAGGCGACATAACCCGTAAACATTAGTTTCTCGGAAAATACAAAGGATCATAAATCATAGTATCACTCTGAACAGTAAGAATGACACAACTGCTCGCTGTCAGTCACCTTACGAAGCTAAAAGATTACACTTTTGATGATTGAGCGAGCAGTGTTTCTGCAACACTCTCATATGATAACTAGAAAATCACGTCTTTTCAGTTAATTAACTGGAGATATACTTTTCATTTACAATACGTCATCTCGCAATTTAAAAAATTGTAGATTACTTATTGCAACACGTAATAAAATCTGATTCAAATTACTTTCGTTAACCTCAATTCTTTATCACCAGACTGCGGATTTTATGCATTCATAGCCTATGAAGAACAATTAAAGACAAAACTTTCGTCAAATAGAACGAGTTTTCCGTTTTATCGTAAACCCTAGAAGATACTTATGAAAAGCAAGAAATTCCTATATTTCTACTTGTCTACACGAACTACTTTACAAAATCTAATTTTGCATAAAAATCCACAGCCTACTTATTTAACATTTTATTAAAAATTTCCTACATATCACTGTAACTTCCGTCACTTTCACAATTTTCGGTACACCAGTCTCCACACAATGCTTCTTGTAAAAGAATTCCTAACGAATTTGACCGAACTCATACACAAGCACTCACGCTCCAGGTTCCCCACTATCCCACGATCCTCACTTTTCGGAAGGTGAAACGCCAATGTCGCCAAGAGCCCCACCGCTGGTCCGTGTGCTTTACGATAACGGTTCTTCAAAATTTGATTTCGACCCGTGGCAATTTCCGGTTCCCCGATATCGTTCCGTGTGTCCCTGTTTCCGACGATTTCCACGGAGACTTGGCGTTCTAGAAACCTACACCTACATGGCCCGAGAACGGCGATCTCGAGAGCCGGTTCGAGAACCCTCCGACCCACTTGCTTGGGATACGCACGCGTAATCCGATGCATCTCTAGTTCTCCACGATTATTAGCCATTTGGCCACGTTTATTATTGTACCCACCGGTCCTGCAACGAGATGCGCTTATTATCGCAATTTCTCTCGTTACCTATCTACACTTCCCCCGGTGGACAGAATATAGGACGGTCGTAAAGTCTAAACTACTAATGTTTTGGGCCCAAAGACATTGGAATTGTTTGAAATGTGGGCTGTGAATAGTCTTCATTTACAAGGGAAGTACCCTGATTAACCTATTTCGATTTTAACGGGGGTTTGTAAGATGATGATATGTATACAGGTTTTTAACCCTTTTGTTCCTGTATTCCGAATTATGAAATGAAACATTAGTATCACGTATTTTTTTATATCTGAGAGTATATAATAGTTTTTTCTACTGTTGTATGGGTGGTATGGCAGGATTTTAATATTGCATTTGAAGGCTTATTGGTAAAATATGACATTATTGGTCCTTTGTTTCTTTTGTTTGATGGAATGTTGAGTGTTGTTACAAATACAATAGTAAAAATGATATTTTCCAAAATATCGATATTTCTCAAGGGGGTTTATTGATCGAAGGTAAGAAAAATGAGGTTTTATTATGAATATTAATATTATAATGAGAATGTTTTTGTGAATTATTTACATGTCGTTGAAGATCGACAAAAATACAACCAAATATTTTTTTCGTGATATTTCAATTATTTGGAAATGAAAGGGTTAATGATATACATGTGTGCCTAATGAATATTAGGTGTAGCCACTAGATAACTTCGAAGATATAAACAACTAAGGTTACATATCTGTTCGACTAATATAATAAATCGGAGGTCCTGAGATCGATTCCCATGCACCGAAACATTTTTATTTTACTGTGCCAACCGGAAGAAGAAAACATTATCCAAAAATTCATATAAAAAATTGGCAAATAAATGTGTCCCATGCCCGAGCGATTAAAACTTTCTCAGCGAAATGACGAACATTCAGAAGAAAATTGTTGCTTAAACAATATGTATTCAAATCGGAGAAAAGTGTACCTAAATTTGGGTTAGCTTCTTCTAACAATTTCTTACCAAGAGTATTTTTTACCCTGCTCCCTCAAGTTAATATAAACCCCCTCTAATCCTAGATTTACATGGTCCAAAGTCCCTCGAAAAGATTTCCCAATTCGCCATACCAGGATCGAACTCATCACTGGCCACACTTACGCGCCGTTGCACCGTTAATCGCAATGCGTTGATGTTTCTCAGCGTTCGTCACGGTCAGTTACATCGCCTCGTAACGTCGTCTGTTACGTCAGACACCGTAGAAACGCGAAATACGTTCGTGTCGCAAGCAGCGCGCTCGATCGATGAAAACTCGTCCATCAGGAGAAACGTCGATCGATCGCGAATGGAAGAGGGATCGTTGATATTGTACCGGCGGAAGCGTTTAATCAGGAAACACGAATGTAGTTATTCATGGTTCCACTCTCGATTTCCCGGTTAGTCTATCGCGTAATCGTGAAAACCGAACAGCCCTAAACGGGGGCAGGTTTTCGAGGATCTGTGTAGTCGAGAAAAATAAAGAGATCTCGGTCGATTGTTACACCGACGATTTGCCACGTTATTATTTCACTGGCGAAACGGACGATGCGTGAATTCAAGGATGCGACCTCGCGAGGATCGCTCGATCATGGCAGCTCACTGGTCTGCCGGCAATTTTCCGTTCGCGTTTCAGTCGAGCAGAACGTGGAAACTGCTTCGAGTGTTTCCTTTGAGCAGTCCAAGTCTTTAGAAAGATACTTTCGAAGTTTCGTTTTACTTTTCTGTCGTTCGGTAAATGAATTTCGAGCAGGTTTTTAGTGCTTATAATTTCGTGAACGTTAGCTTGGTTTCTGTGGTGCACACCGTCGAAGAAAATAATTGTTCACGTCACTTCTGCTATTGGTTGATACAACCGGATAGGAGGTAATTCTATGTGCAAAAATAAGTCGAATATATACTTCGTTTCGAAGATAATGAATTTTTTAAATTCAGCTGAAACGCATGTAGTCGTGCTGGCGCTAAGTAGAAACGGTATGTACTGAACAGACGCGGTAGCCTAGTCCTGTTCCACGCGTATCCATGCGATTTTCGAATTCGATTATCTGGAAAATGAAGCGTTATACGACAAAATTTTTGTCTACATTTTCGACTTATTTTGGCATATAGAATCATCTTCTGTTCGGTTGTACCACCCATCCTGTCTCACCCTGTATATCGATGGCCCAATCATCGGAATACGACATTTTTAATACATAAGTATTTATATTTTCCTTTTTGAAAGTTATAGACCAGAAGTATAATCGTATAGAATAAAATAATTAAAAAGTTAGAACACAAGAAATTCGTTTCAACTTTCAATTTACGACCTAAATCTACTATTCTCATGCATTCGGCGTACTATATTTATTTATGAACCACTAAATTTACAGTTACGTAAATCTTATACAGGCAACAAGCAAATTACTTGTACATAGATCTGGTTCAACAATAAAGAAAAAAGACTTACGCACCAAAGTAAAACTAAAATATAACAGTTATATTATATTCCTATATTCATTCTTACGTGTTATATTCGAACGGGTTCCATAAACCACACATAACTTTTTTAGTTAACTCCTGAATTCGCGAGACACTAAACTTATTTTACCATCGACATCACAGACCATAGACCGAAACCGGTGTTTTCCGTAGCGTCTCCTGGGAAGCAGAGGTTGGAGTAAATAACTATTTCCTCGGTCGATGTAATTCCGATCTGTAGAATCGTAGAACGGGCAATGATACGTGTTTCTGAATAATTGATGCAGAGTGTGGATCGACAATTCCAAGCAACACGATGTTGTTCCTGACCGTGACAGCATGTTTGGTCATCACGGTCCAGGCCGGATGCCCCATGAGGCCCACACCTGAACAAACCACCGCTACCAGGACCACCGGAGACGGTGGCTACAGGATTCTCGTTAGCGGAGACGGTAACACGTATATTCCCAACGCTGTCTACACAATCAGTTTGCAAGGTAACGTCGTTGATTTCACGTTTTCTGGTGTTCCTTTCAGAGATCGCGTGGTCAGGTCCAGAGATGGGCAAAATTTTTATCTAAATAAAAATCTTGAATAAAGAAAAAGGATAAACAAATTTTTATCGTTACTCAAAGCTTGAAGAAAAAAGTAACTTTATCGACGAGCGTCGATTTAATAAATTTATTCAACGAGAATTATTCGATGAGTAAAAGTTACTTTTTTATTCAAGCTATGAGTAACGATAATAGATAAAGTATCTTTTATTCAAGTAGTTATTTAACTAATTTTTTATATAGATAATGCCCATCTCTGGTTTGGTTCCATTAGACCGTTTCGAAGTACAAATTAAAATTACAAAGGCCTGTTTGATCTTCTAATGATCTGCTCTGTTCCATTTACGGTGGATGTCTTTCAATTTTGATGAAATTTATGTTCTGTAAGAGATGAAGTATGGAGATTTTGTTGATTTCAGGATCGAGAACGCATGAAAGGTTGCAACAGTTCACGCGTTTCACGGTTTCCGTGCATTCCCAGCATGCACCGAACAATCCCGCGGCCCGGGTTGGTTACTTCCAATTGTTCCCGGACACTTTGACCACGTTCAACGAGGATTGCGTAAACACCGTCTCGGAAGCTTCCAATTTCCCGAAAACGGAGGTAAAATTGAAACATATTTTTTAATGCATTAGTCAATGCTGAGCAATATTAAAATTTAAATCTTTCCTAAACTAACAGTCCTTTAGCAAACATAGTTCAATACCTATCTATAGGGAATAACGGGCAGCATAAAAATATATGATTCCACTTAAACACACAAGTTCGACCACAAAAACTACTGACATCAAATTACTCCTCCCTCAAAACCATTCAACTTTTATCCTAAACATTTCACCGTATCATCAACGGCTTCGAAGATATTCTAGGGGAGCCATTTAAATGATTCACCCTGTACACTACAAAGAAGTAGCATCGATCGTATCGTACCCCGCTCAATTACTCCAGAAGAATCGACTGCATCTTCCGCGTCTCCTCAAACGTCCAGAATCCATGTCCGGTTACGTACAACACGACGTGCCCACCGTTGATAAAATCGCCGACAGATTTCCAGCCGTTGGCCGATGGCCAACGCGTCCGATGGTGTCCGATATTTCTCGGCGTTATCGTGGCCCCACCCGCGATTTCCGCAAACCAGACGTCCTGAAACGTTTCTTACCACCTGGCGTAGATCCAAGAGATGTGGAAGGCACCACCGCCCGGATCAGGATGCGTTATCTTCACCGCCATGGTGCTGGAGAACAACGTTCGATGGTACGCCGAGGACGGCGGCCTGACCAAAACCCTCTGCGAGGTTGGACCCAAGGAGGTCGAGACAATCGACGTTGACAGGTGCTGCGCCTGCGACGAGGCGAAGTATTCGGTAGGTTAAACGCTTGAACATCTGAAGAGGGAAAATGATGAGTAGACTGCGGACTTTTATGCATAATCACATTTACCAGGTTGCTCATAAAGACAAAAACAAAAGTAGGAATTTCTTTCTTCCCCTATGTATCGGTCCAAAAGAAAGTTGAGAACTCGTGTTATTTGACAAAAGTTTTGTCCTTCATTGTATTTCACAGAAACCTATAGGCTATAAATGCATAGAAGCCGCAGTCTAATTATAAAATGTCGAATGAGTGTTCACTTGGCGTTGAGCATAATGACATTTAACATTGGAAAGCTACAATTTTTTTTTAATTTTTGAAACCTGTCTAACAGTTAACTGATACGATGGCCAATGGGCATTGCAATGATCGAACGATATTTTATTGAATGTTAGAAATGTTCGAAGCAAATTAATTAATACAGGGTGTCGCACCTAGCTTGAGCATCCTGAACATCTCGCTTATTTATTATGATAATTTCTTTTTTCGTTTACTATAATCAGTTTAGATATCATGTTGAACATTTGTTAAAATAAAATAGCTTTTTCTTCATTAGTCTTTAAATTACAGTTATTAGTTTACTATTTTCATCCATTACTCAATTATTATAAATTTTTTGTATTCAAGCTCATCTGAAGGTCATAGTATGCTGGATTATTAGATTTGCCTTCCTTAGCTATCATATAGTTATGACAAAAATATGTACCCCCGTTTACAAAAACTGCAGTGACCTAGAAATTTCGAAGAAGATATCCTTTAGAAAACTTTTTGCCTACCATCAGATTTGCCCCGTCGAACCTTATACTTTCACCATCTGACATGTTCCCTATTATAAAAAATTAGCGAGGTGTTTAGGATGCTCAGGTTAGGTGGAGCACCGTCTATGGAATAAATCTGTTCAATGACGTAAAATTAGCTGTCAAGTTAATCATCAATAATAGTAAAAGATCAGAAACTACCCTTAAAGTGGTAGTTCGCTCAGACACAATTCAAGTTCAATCAACGATCGAATCGAGTCACACCGGTGTTTAACCAGTGTAGCATGGTGTTCCAACAAATTCAGTGTTGCTGTTTATTCTCCACGGGTCGATTCAAGTCCAACGCGCAAAGTTTCATTGGCGGCGTCTCCAGTGGTTCCTACTCCCGTTTCAGTTGACTATGGAGGGAATCTGGTCGAACGTGACCCATCCGAAAGACTTCCCGTTCTCGGTCTGGTTGACCCACTTCAGCGACGTGATCGGCGGTTCCCATGTACCTAGCTTCTCCTTTTGGGGCAAGGACCATATAGCCACCGACGGCTTCCGACAACTGGCCGAATGGGGATCCGCCTCGGGGGTGGAGGCTGAACTGAGGGCCAACGCGAACAAACTGAGAACGTTGATCAAGGCCGCCGGCCTTTGGTACCCCAACGTAAACAGTAACACGAGCACCAGTTTCAGGTAAATGTTCTCCCTGTGTAATTATTCACTTGTTTCTATTGTTTGGATCTACTGGTAAGTATTAGGTGTACAAATTAATTCGTGGTCACCACAATTAATTATTGACTAAAAATTGCCATAATTTGTTCGAGAGTGGATTCACCAAATCCTCGAAAAATGGCGTAAATGTATAGAAAATGACGAGGAATATTTACAAAACTAGACTGTATTTTGGTTTTCTTTCTAAATAAACAACCAATTTACGAAAAGAAGGCCACGAATTAATTTGTACACCTAATACTTAACTCTCTTCTGTCCCTCATTTTCCGAACTGAATTTGTCTCACAATGTTAAAGTGACAGAGTGGTGAAAATTAATATAACGAAGAGATAAACAGTTAAGTTTGCAATTTCTACAAAATAAAGTCACGGAGTTTCAGCTAAATTTACCTACACGTGACAGAATGGTATCATTTCTTAAGGGAAAAATGGGTCAAATTGACACGAGGGACGGATGAGGGTTAATGCTAAGACTTAATTGTCCAGCAATTTCGTACAAACGAAATTTGACTAAATTACTGAATAAATAAATAAATAAATAAAAGCATAGTAAGGCAAATTAAATACAATTACGGCCTACGTTCGATACGGAATCTGTTTCTTTGAAGTTATACAAAGTATTAAATTTTCAAGGTTTCGATGGGTTAGCTCTTCCAGAATGTTAATCAATCCCGACACATCATAGGCACTAACGAAAATATTGATTTACAGCTGTAGATAACGAAGAAAATTTATATCTTCGGGCAGATACCACATTTTTCTCAAACAATGAAGACAATTTCTCACATTGGAATTGATTCTATCTTCAGAGTGGACAAAGGTCATCCAATGCTCTCTGTGGCCTCCATGTTGGGACCGTCCCCGGATTGGGTGGTCGGTGTCAGTAAGCTGAATCTCTGCAGAAAGGACTGCACCTGGACGAAAAGTGAAATCATCGATTTGTACCCTTGGGACGCGGGCACCGACAATGGTATCTCATACATGTCGCCGAATTCCGAGACAAAGCCGCGGGAGAAGATGAAGCCCATCACCACACTGTACCCCGAAGATCCTAGAGCACCTTTCTACGATCCCACTGGACGACCTATGCTCCCATTGGCCAGGTTGTACTTGAACAGGGAGAAGCTGATCCCACGTGGCTGCGACGAGGAGAGCCTTCAGGAGCAATTGTCGCAACTGGAGGTCGCTGAGAACACCGAGGACACCTCTAGACGTGAGAAGTTTCATACTTAATGGTCTCATAACTGGAATTGAGTAATTGAAGACTCGTGTTCTTTATAACAATAAGTTCTTTTCTCTGTTATTCTTGGTAGAGTCTCGTCAGTTGACGCAGAAGTTATTCTGCGGCATTTGGGAACCATATAAATATTTTAATAGGTGATCCTGTTCTGATGTTTCTATACTAGCCCACAGTTTTATTAGATATAGTTTCGAATGACCCAGGATAACAACTGAATAACTGGCATAAAGAAACAGACTTGAAGGTTGAACAAATTTTCAGTATGGGTTAAAGTCGACTCCGATTGTGAACTTCCATGCTTTGTTGTCCAAAGGTTTATTATGGAAATCGACGCTAAATTTCCTAAGTGAGATAACCTTTTTAAACATATGCAATGTACACACATCGTCTTTTCTTCGCGTAATGTTCGTTGATTATGATAGTAGAATATGATAGTACAAGAGGTTAAATTGAAGGAAATGTGAGGTACTGGAAGTGGAATTCAAACCCATGGGTTTGATCCATGTTCGACGTGATTCTTTCACTGGCCAACTGTGCTTTAATCACTCGAGTCACGTTGACCTACTTTTCATAGCCTTTTAATTTTTCTGGCGATTGTAATTCTAGGGGTCCCAATTTCACAATATCAAAGTACCAAGAGTTTGTTATATTACCCTGACTCAATTTTCTTTCTCTCTGCAAAATGAAGCTGAATGTCAGACCACGGACTACACCGCCTGGTCGACCTGCTCGGTGTCTTGTGGCAAGGGATTGAGGATGCGTACTAGGTCCTACTTGATGCCGCAGAAAGCAGCCATGTTCCAGTGCAATAGGCAGTTGGTCTCAAAAGAGATGTGTGTTGCATCGATTCCAGAATGCCCGTAAGTGCACCAACAAAAATCCTCTGATTCACAATCATAAATTCAGCAATTTTATAAATTGTAAATCAGAAGTAATATCGTTAGGAATCAAATACAGCTATCCTTCTATAATATCGTATTTTGTCATTCTCTGTATAAAAGCTATGCTACCCCTGTTATTTCGTGGTTCTAAAAAGCAAAGTTCGATAACACTTTTAAACCCGGTGCACTTCGACGGTTGTCTACGAATATTGTTGCAAATGTGTCCTCAGAGGGGAAGAAGAGGGAGACGATGGCGTGCTGGGGGTTGTTAACAACGCGTTCTGCGAAACTACTGAATGGGGCGAGTGGTCCGAGTGCTCGTCCTCCTGCGGGATCGGGATGAAGTTGAGAACGAGGAGGTTCAAGGACCGTATGGGTCGTAAAAGGTGCCCTCACGTCTCCCTCGTTGAGAAAGAAAAATGCATGGAGCCTCCGTGCGCGGACGGCGTCGAGGAACAAATTGATCCTACGTGCAAGGTATGTTTTAGAAATAATCCTGCACAGATCCACTCTTTAATGTTTTACTCCTCCCGACCAATGTTGCGGACTATTGTAGGTAAATTAAATCCAGTGATCGAACTTGTTTTTTTCTTAAGGTAACTGAATGGTCCGACTGGTCACCTTGCAGTGCGTCTTGCGGAAAGGGGGTGAAATTGAGGACCAGATTGCTGATGGTCGAACCTTCGGAGCAACACAAGTGCTCCTCCAAGATTGAGCTACTTCAGCAGCGACCTTGTTTGGAACAGGCTGACTGTACCTTTGATATGGCCACCGCGAAAGGTAGGAATTCAAGATTCTGGTTACACGAGATAATTCTGTTCTCAGTTTAGAATTCCAGAGATCCTAATTGTGCAAGTTCGTCTTGAAAAATAGACTCTGGGCCACAGTGTTTGTATTCTTTTATAAAAAGGTTGTAAGTATTATTGCAATTGACCCACTTGCATTAAGCAACTGAAAGGACCTCAAAGTGTCACTAATTTTTCTTACCTTAAATTACTAACATATATTTCCTCTACTTATGATGTATCTAATCACACTATTCAGTTAAATAATCATGTATTATAATACCCAGATAGGACATGACGCCTTGAAGACGTACATTTTAAGCCGTCTTCAAAATGTCATTGGGCCGATCTGAGTACTGAAATTATTGAAGTATTGATCATTTGTTGATCGACGTCTGTCAAATGTATATTCTAAAATAATGTTTGCTGTACTCGATATGTCCGAATCATCACACGGGTTAAAATAGGTTTTAAACAAAGCTGTAACGGAACAATATTCCATTCTTCTCTCTGAAATTAAGACTAACTTTCTACAAAGGAGTTCTTAATTTCGTTTTAAATTCATAGAAAATTAATTTCCTGAAGGTTCAATAATTCTATTCCATTTTCAGTGGTCTGCATGGAGGAGGCAGATCCTGGACCATGCAGAGGCTACTTCCAAAGATGGGCGTTCGTTCCTCAAAAATTGATGTGCGTACCTTTCGGATACGGTGGTTGCCGCGGTAACAGAAACAACTTCTTGACTGCCGACGAGTGCAGTAACACTTGCGGAATCGTTAGTACATTACTCACATTAATTTCTAATGTCTCTAGAAGTCGATGCTTCAGTCCATAGGAAAATAATTTTTTCAGGTACGATCAATCCTTACTGGTGAACCGCTGAACAATACCAATTCTCTGCGACCGTCGCAATCTGAAGCTCCAGTCGATTGTCTTGTCTCCAGCTGGTCACCTTGGACACACTGTAGCGTCACTTGCGGTACAGGTCGCGTCAGCAGTCACCGAACAATTAAGGTAAAACGTACTGATATATTTAATGATCGTCTTGAGTTTGATCATATGCCCCCATTAGCAGTTAACCTTTCAGTCCTTCATTTTTCTAAAAATTATATTAAGTTCATATTAACCCTTTTACTACGAAAGGCGTACATATATGCCCTCACATGTCTATCAGTATGTACCAAAGGCGTATACCGGGTGAACCACGAATCCTGATCAGTAGAGATTACTCTGTTAAAAACGTTTTTATCAGGTATATCATGGTTTCAAGAGAGCTATCATTTTTTGTGAACTCTTTTTTTTCATGATTTTTCAAGGCCACCTTCAATTTTTTGCAAATACACCTATCATTTTTTTACGCCTCTCTGTTAGAGGATTTTAAGACGAATTCAGTATCATGTCATAAGATGTGTTACTTTTTTTTTTAATTGAATTTATTTGAAAGAAAATTGAAGGTGACCTTGAAAAATCATGAAAAAAAAAGAGTTGACAACAAATTTGCTATAATAACGTTGAAGCTCTCTTGAAATCATGCTATACCTGATACTATAACACATTTACTGTTTTATTAAACTGATCTAACATAGAATATAGATTTTTTCGCATATCGCGCCGCAGTCCAAGGGTTAAAGCAAAGTTCATAAATTCTACTTATAGAGACTCGTCTTAAATCCATTCAATATTTCGAAGGTAGTGATTGTTTCTCGCTTAATTAAACTTTGAAAAGTGTGCCTTAATACACTCTGGCTAGTCTAGATGTATAAGTGGTAAAATGGTTAACGCGATCTTTGTGGGACAAGCAACTGTCGTTAAATAAATTCCAAGTCGAAGCTTGCACGAATAAGTAGCGGGGTTCTCTGAATTTTCAGCAAGAGCCACAGAACGGCGGCCGTCCTTGTCCAAAGAAGCTGCAACGTCGTTCCCGGTGCCAGCTCGCCCCGTGCGAGTAGCACTTCAAATAAACTCGATTCAAGAGCAGCGAAGCTAAAACAAGCAAACAGAGACGACAGGGTTCACACGCCGTTCACACTTTCAGAGAGGATCGTGACCCGTTAAAAAGTAAATGGCTCGCGGCACACGTAAGTAACTCGATTCACGAACGAGTCAGCTTCGGTCCCCCAAGGTATTCGTTCGTGTCACCAAAAAGGGAATTCCTTGGGTGTAAGTTTTCTTTTTCTACAAAAAGATCGATGGGTATGAAATAAACCGATGTATCAGAATAAATGGTATTTTATTAAATGGTCAATTGTGATCTTCCTACTCCCGGTCGAATTATCCGAATACGCAGGCCGTGGCTAAAACGAACATAATCGGTATTGTTCCGGCTTATTGCGTTCGCGTCGTTAACAAATGTATGCCAAGCGATGGTTCGTAATCGAAAGAATCTTACGTATCCCTAGGGAGAAATATTTGCAATTACCAACGAAAGAAAAAAAAAAACAAAACGGTTTAAATCCTCGTAAAAGCAACCGATACTAAAAGTGTCAAATTCCTTCGAATAATCAGCGTTCATCTATTCGAGTGTCTCTCGATTCTCTTCTTTCGACGATCCATACCCTGATGATTATAGAAAACTCGTTACAGGTCTATTCAACGCTTCCCGAATCGCTGTTATCAAAGAAACGTTCAATTTTATAAATGTTACTCGACGTACAACAATCCTGTCTCCGACAGGACGTAGTTCCTCGCAAAACATCTGAACTTCTCGTGATGGATGCGGTCAGAAACGATATAATATAATCTCGATATCGTAAAAAAATTCCGCTAATTTTGTATTTTACTATTGTTCGTTCTCCGAAAGATAGACTCTACACGTTCGCCGGCTTATCTCGTTAATAAAACAATTGGTTCCGTATATTTGTATTTTGTTCCATATTTTGGTTTCTTTGTTCATCTCCCACGCGTCTCCCTCCATTCTCTTATATAAGTTTGCCTTTTGTTTCTTTACAATAATAACCGCTCACAATATAACATTCACTACGACTTTGTTTCTGCCAAGTGGACATCTAGAACTTTACATTTACAATAATAATCTCATAAATAATACACGTAGGCGGTAGTACGCACGGTAGAATTCTGTCCGTGCGGGTCCGTGTGTCAGGCTCGCGAATCACGACAGAAAGCAACCCCGTGAGAAAGACTTTGGCCGATTCGTAAATTCGAATTTGATTTTTTTTCTGTTTCTTTTTTTTTTTTTTCTAAGTAGTTTCCCCTGTCGCTCGATCGCGATCCCGACAACGCGTTAACATTAATAGTTTTTTATTCGTTATTTATCATACGTACACGTAATATCTAAGGTAATAGTACGGATCTTTCGTCATCATTTTAGGCCTCTACTCGACTAAGTTACTCGGCTCGTTTTTTGGTCGTGACACCTAATACACTTCGTCCTCCATTTTTTTTGTCGAAGAACTGGACTAGACCGAATTAAAAACTAACTAATAAAAATGTTTTATCAAACCGGTCGCGACAACGATACGTCGCGTCCGGAGGTAAAGGAAATTCTTCCGCTGGAAGCTCCATCGTGATCGAAAGGTTCCTTGAAAATACAGAAAGAATTCGTCTCGCTCCGATCCTATTCTCTCCTCCAGATTGCACAGCGGATTTTCTCGCCGCTGACAATTATTCCACGAGGAACGAAATATCGATCGGAAGGACTGTCGTCCTGGTTTTCAAGCACGAGAACTCCCCTTTTTGTGCTTCTTTCAGTCAATACGAGCCGAAGGAACCTCGATTACCTCGGACTAATTGGGCCACGCGATTTCCAGGTGAAGGAACGATTTAGCCCTGCATCGATCGAGGGACAATCGAGGTCCTGTTAGAAAACAGAGACGGGTTTCCATCGTGATTGGGAAAGAAAGGTTCGATTAGAATGTGTGACTAGAGTTCGTGACGAACGGGCAAATAAAAAAGTAAGAAACGTCAGGTGAGGCCGTCTTAACGATAGAAAAGCTCCGGGATCTTCAGTAGACCAGCTTCCTGAAGTGGTTAGGATAAATTCGACGTGTTACGAGAGTCCGTTAAAACGGCGATAACAATCTTCTCTCTTTTATTTGTAATAGTCACCTGTTTACGTACGCGTTAACGCGGGAACACGGTTATAGTTGGATCGGTGTCGGTTCACAGCTCGAGGCAACCGATAGGGAGATTATCCCCAGTGTATCGTTTATTCGATCATCCATATATCGCTTATTATTTATTTATACTAACTCTATCTCGTTTCTGTTTGGGACACAATTTTTGTGTACCGAACGAGGGTAATTTTGGGTTATTGCAAACGTCCAAGAATTTTCTTGAAATTGAAAGAAGAATAGTTGTGCAAAATAATTTCTTGATTAAATTATATAATCTTTGTGACCTTCGGTGAACTTCCATCATTTTTGTGATGGTATCGTATAGTATTTAGTTCTTTAACTCATCGTTTTATGTTTTAATTGTGCTAAAAGAGTTATGCATTAGTCGTAAATGCGAGCAATTAGTAAAAAATTTGCCGTACTTTAGGCCTAATAAATCTCTGTCTTAATTCCGGATCAGTAAATGTCTAAAATGAATAAATCTATAAGAATGTGAATGATCCCCAGGTTATTAACAACTAAACAATATGAATACAAAGACTCGTGCAATAACCCAATAAAAACGACGAATATCCAAGGTCCAGCATCGCAGCTGTTATAATACTTAAGTCTAATATACACTGAGAAATTAGAAAGAGTCTTTGAGAGAATGATTTGAAAAAGACGACTCTTAAAGCTATTCCGCCATTGTTATCTCTTCTACTTGCCCCGTCCAGCAAAATTCTTTGAACCTATGATAGGTCTATCAAAGTTCTCTCGAAGGTACCCGCACATCATTCCCTTACATTTATACAGTTTCCTAGTAACATTGAGAACTACTACGACCATAAAATCCTAACCATTCAGTAAAAACAATGTAATATGAAACATTAAAATCTCGAAACCACATCGTGTGCGTCTAGCAGGAAGCAGGATCAAACCTAGCTTCCCTACTCACAGACGTCTTTTTTACTTTGATCCATAAAAGTTGGGATTGAATTTCACGTTATTCGAGGAGCTGTAAGTGGTAGCTCGAGCAGCCACCTAAATCCTAAACCGACTATAACCGTTTCCTCATTGGTACGATGTCGTCAGACTAGTGCTGACTAGACTAGTGATCGTCGACCCACTCGCCCCTCCCGTTCTGGCACTAGTAGTAGTAGTAGATCGTAGAACGACACGGAACAGATAAAACCCGTTTCCACGACGACCTGATTGGTTCGATGATAACCGGTACACAGGACCGTTCTCGTCGCATGGAGACGCTCCCGCTCGTTCCGGTCGTTCTCCACGCGGTAGAAAATCGTCTAGGTGAACGACGTTTGCTTAAGGGCAACGCAGACGGAATTAACTTTGACGGCGCAATCTCGACTCACTGGGCGAGAGTTCCATCAGGGAGGGTGGGGATGAAGGCGACGATAGGGCCATCGCGTGTGTGACACGGGGTGGAATCGATGATCTTGACGGAAGTTCCTTCCTGTCCTGGAGGATCTCGACTTACTCCTGCGCCTCGATACTCTCCCTCCGCTTGACAACAATCACGTCTTCGTCGAACGCTATTATCTGTTAGTTTCACGCTTGAAAATGATCACAATTTTTTGGCATTTTTTTCTGAATGATTGTATAAGATATCTTGATGAAACTTTTTATAGTACGTTTTATTAAGCTATTCGAATTATTTTAAAATTGTACTTATCTTTTGTATTATAGATTACTAATGTCAAAATTTTGGAAAAAATGACAATGAAACCGAATATTGTCTCAGGTTTCAATAAGCTACACAAAATAGCTTTGGGAGCCGCACGTTTCCGACTGTTGCTCTATACCAAGAAAACATGTTTGTATGACTATATAAAAAAAGGGAAATTATTCTCTAAATATAGTTGAATAAAACGTCAAAAGTTTCATCGAGACACCTTATACAGTTACAGTAATGTCCCGATGAGTGCCACGTACTCGAGTCCACTTTGGAGCATTCGTGGCAAGGCGGAAAGGTTTTCACACCCTCATAAATTTGTTTTTTACACAAAATCGAGCCTCCGCTTCAGTGGTGGGGATAACTTTGCTCGTGTCGCATTCATCGAGGGATTCACAAAAAAATTTCCAAAAATTGTGATAATTTTTAAGCGTCACACCAGCAAATACCGCTTACCAAACTCTCTGCTCCCATTACATCTGTCAGAAGCAACTCATGAGACCGCGCGAAAATGAATCCCCGTGTGAACCGAAGGATTTCTCGCGTGGAACGTCGCTCGTATCCAAAGTCAGGCTCTGAGTTTTGAAGGGTTCTGGGCTCGTCGGTGGGTCGACGAGCGGTAGCGTTGTTCCGAGATTTTATAGTTCCTGTGCTTGTTTTTTTTTCTGTCTCGGGAAAGTGCCGTCGTCGTTAGAAAGGCATCATTGTGCGTGTGCCGACGACGACGACGCGATCTCTGATCCATGGAATCGGGTGTCCCGATCGATGTCGTCGTCCCAGCCTTTGCGGCTGGTGGAAAAATCAAATCTGGGAATATAGATCTCGTCGATGTCGTTCGAGTTCCCCCGTTTGTCTTTTTTTATTTTTTCTCTTCCGTTAGTTGACACGTCGCGACTAGGCGACCGAGGGATCGTCTCAGAGCCATCCGCTGGATACATCGTGACCGGATATCGGCTCGATCCCCTGAAGTCGTTGCAACTGCGTCGCCGAACCGTTTCGCTTCAGCGTCACAGAAAGAGACCCGCTGGCTACCACGCTTTCCTCGGTGGTCGACGGAGTCAACGGGACCGCGGTGACCACTGCTGTGGAAAAATATACGGATGTTTACTGCAGGGGATGTTTCTACTCCTGAGGGGCTTGTTAAACCTTTAACGCTCAGTGTTGGACTGGTGAAACACTCATTTTTAAAGGGCGTCAAATTCTGTAGTCGGTTAATATTTAACTTTTGTCAGCAAAGATCTGTACTTTCACTGATTCGAAGTAGATGTTCATGTTTTCAATTGAGAAATTTAACACTAGATTTACGGACGATAAACACATATTTGCCTCGATCGGTGGATGGACGTGAAAAACTTTTGAAAATGTAGAAATTTAGAAATTGACTAATTTCTTCACTTTCAAAATAAAAATTCAAACACGTCTCTGAAGGTGAGTCATCCGTAGCTAAGGATTAACTTTTGCCAGTTCAACTACAACACTCATCCTCCCTTATTGCATACAACACGACTATTTCTGACTCATCAAACTTAAGACGAAAAATAGCACAAAATCTTGAAAAATGAACTCACCAGGTTGCTCGCTAGCAGTGTTGCCCTCAGGATTATCGATGCTGGGCTGTTGGCTCTGCGTTCCCTCGTGTCTTCTAGGAGGAGCTTGCGTCAGATCTGGTCCTCTGGTGGGAACGCTACTGGCTCTGTACAACGGATGCTTCTTCGACACCTTCGAAACAAAGTTCGAGGCGATTGTGTGCACGGGTTTCGTGCGCAGGGAGACCAGGGCGCTCAGACCGTGAGGGAGCATGTGATGGGTTTCGTGATGTTGCGACGGTTGTGGTCGATCCGAATGGCGGGCCTGAACATCGCGTCCGGCGGTCTCCAAGGAGGACTTCGAGTCCGTGGATCCCTCGGACCGTGAACCGCCGTCCTCCGAACCGGGCGAGTACACAGAGTCCTCCGAACGAGATCTACCTGGGAACAGAAGAACGATTGCCTCTTAGTATTCGGTAGATGCGGCACATTTAAATATACAACTCGAACGTGACTGGCGATATAAAGGTACGGTGGCCTGTGTACGGCGAGAGTAATTTTAATGGATACGCCGAATCGAATATCAGGAAGAACTTTTAAGCGGGGAAATTCAAATGGAGGTTTCAATCTAACGTGTGGAATTTGTGATGAGATTTTAATCATATGTTTACTAGATTTGCGTACGTTCTGAATTGAGGATTTAAGTGATTAAATGTTTCAGAATATTATTATTATTGTTGTTGTTGATACTATTTTATTACGCCTGGGATTTGAGTCGCGATGAATGATTCAAGATTGTAATCATTTGTACAGGGTGTAACAAAAATTATGGAGGACCCGGAAATGAGAGACTCGCGTTGTGATTGGTCGGAGTTTTTCGTTAATATCTCGTTAACAAAGCCTCGGATAACATTTTTGTTAAGGAAAAACTTGTTTTAAATCAACTCACAAGTCTGGGTTCTTCAAAATTTTTCTTATACCCTGTTTAATAATCGATGTGATTCACCAGTTCTTTTAGCGAGTATTGATTCTTTGACCAGTCTCTAGTATTGACATTCACATATGGGACATTCCACCCGAAATCAACACTTTTTGGAATAACATTTCAAATTTTGTTGACACTTGGATATGTTGTAGTCTTTAATGATATATAAACGGATGTGGAAGGATTTTTGAAAATTTCAAATATTGTTGTTTCTACAGCCGTTGAAAACTTGTTTGAAATACAAGATGAACTACAAATCGTGATTAGTAGAAATTCTCTGTTATGAGCAGTCCGATCAAAAATGTTTTAATCAGGTATAACATGGTCTCAAGAGAATTTTTACGTGATTATAGCAAATTTTTTGTCAAATCTTTTTTTTTCATGATTTTTTAAGGTCACCTACAATTTTCTTTCAAAAATTCAATTAAACAAAAAGTAACACATATTATGTCATGATACCGAATTCGTCTTAAAATCTTCTAACAGATAGGCGTAAAAAAATGATAGGTATATTTCCAAAAAATTGAAGGTAACCTTGAAAAATCATGAAAAAAAAGATCTGATAAAAAATTTGCTATAATCACATTAAAGCTCTCTTGAAACCATGTTATACCCGATAAAAACATTTTCGATCGAACCGCTAATAACAGAGTAATTTCTACTGATCACGATTCGTGGTTCACCCTGTACAGTGTCCACCTTTTTTCAATAAATCATGACTATTGACCTAACGAACTGACCAAAATGAGTCCATAAAGTGGACAAAATACACGTGAAAATATTTCATCGAAACCAACTTACTCATTAACCTGGAGACTCTGCCAGTCGTAGCCGCCTCGATGATGTTCCCCCATCGTTTTTTCCTCGAGCTGTTTCTCATCTCTCGAACTTGCCTGCAAGCCAATCCGGGCACGCTGTTCGTGCTGGTGCTATGAGGACTCTTCTTAGGCGTGGTCCCGGGCCCGAATATCCCGCTCAACGTCGAACCAAAGAACTCTTGCGAGTTCTCGTGCTGCACCTGCTGTTCCAAGCATACGAACTCGTCTACAGGCGGCAGACTGCCGCTCCCCCCAGGCTGAGGGCCGATATTGAATCCCTTCATTAACCGACGCTCCTTCTGACGGTTCTTCTTACCGCCCGCACCTATGGACAGCTCTTTAAGGCTACCGTCTATGGGGCAGACAGAAAACCAACGGACTACGCTCAAGCAGCTACTACGAAAAAAAAAAGTCAACCTAAAGGAAAACTTAAGAAACTAAAGCGTGCCAGCTACGTGTTAACCATCCCCTTTTGGCTCCATAACCAACAAGTGTAATTAGCTTCCGTTCCAACCCACGCTCCGTCTAAACCATCATCCAATTACCGATATACCATCAGATTTTCGGTCCCGAACCACGCGCGATCTTCTTAATTTCAACTTGAACCCCGAGGTAACGACAACGTAATATCCGCGCCAGACGATCCTTGATTGCATTAATTAGACCCCCGCAGTTCGCCGGATGATTAATAGACGTTGGTAGGTAACGAACTTCGGAACTTTCGTTCGAGATGGAGATCGAGCCAGCTACACCGGCACACATCCATCTTCGGAATTTTCTATTCGTGCCGTGATGCTTGTGAACTTGAAGTTTCTCGAACCCAGTTGTCGAGGGACAAAGAGAGACGAGGAAGAATCGTGGCTGTTGTGCGTGTGTATAAAGCACTAAGAGTTCTAGGCAAATTATGGGGAATAACTGAGGGCACGTGCGTTAACGCGATCGCCTATCCCGTGCAACCAAGCTCACCGGTACCGGCTCCGCTGGCTGTCGACGTGTTCATCCCAGAATTCTTCAGGATCTCGATCAACTCGTACCGAAACGCACTGATGTCCTGCTTGATCTCGTTCACGTCGTCCTCCGTCACGCCCTCGCTCTCCGCCTTCCTTTGCTCCACCGTCACGTACCTCCTAACCAGATTCCTCATGATGCTCTGGTACCGGAAGTCCCGTTCGGACGCCTGCTTCGCCTTCCGCTGCGGGCAACGAACAAAAAGGATCGTCTTTGTAATTTCCGGGCCGTATTTATTACCCCGAGGCGCACGGAATTTCGTATTTTCGTTGTGCACGAGCTGACTCGAGAAAATCGATTTTATTTCGTTTATTTTTACGATGGGTTTTCTTTCGATAAAAGTAAATAATTGGAATGTTATGATAGAATATGTATGAAGAAGGAATGGAAGATTGATATGTAATATTTAGGCAGTAATGATTCAGCAATTAATATAGTATTTTCTGTTGGTACTCAATGTTCTAGATTAACCCTCGTACAGCGAATGCAGGGCCGCTTTGATGCATCTGTAACTATTGCTATATTCTTTGTTGTTATGTGTAATATATGAACTTGAAGATATACGTAAAATTTTATGCACAATTTCCTCTTTAAACCTGCGTACAATGGAAATTCTACTATGGGTCAGAATGACCCTGCATTCGTTTATCGTGTCGGTCCCGGACCATTCGTCTTCCGAGGGTTAAGCGTTTCAAATAACCATCTTCATCTTCAGTTTCGTTACTGTTTAGTTACAGAAATATTATTTTACTAACTTTTGTGACCATTTGTACAATGTCACCTTTGTCAAAGAAATCAAGCTGTCTCTTAAACATTAATCCTAAAGACACAGGCGATGATAAATAATATTTTTTAGATATTTCATATTTTTTAGGCACGACTGGGAATACGTAGGAAAAACTCATTCAATTTTTTGGGCCAATATTAACCCTTAATATTATTTTCAATATTTAATTTAATGTACTTATTTTTAACCTTATATTATTAATTTAATAATCAATCAAATTGACGCCTCGAGGTAATAAATATGGTATGACGAGGATCGAAGGAATCCCATGAATATTTTTAGAATATTTTCATTTTACTCAGCACTTACTTTAAAAGGATGCTTGTTTATTTCGATGTTTTCTTGTGCGAGAATGCAAAACAACCAGTTGTGTAATAAGTAATATGTAATAAAAACTCCTACTTTACCAGTTAAGGGTTAATACTACTCACTAGTGCATCTACGCAAATATATTTTTCGTCAGGAAGCACATGTACATGCATGTAATATCAATAATTTAAAAATATTTTTCAATCGGTCAAATCGATGAGATCTCCGTCAGGGTCTTTTCAGGGTTCGACGGAATTAATCTTACCCTAATCGTTCGCATGTGCTCCTTCTTGGCAGCTCGGCTGTGGCCACAAAGCTTCCGGTACATCCATTGGCCCATGTACCACACGCTCTTCGGGGTTGGAATAATGTTGAAAGGTGGTGGGACCGTTCCGCCCTCCTCGAAATAGCTGATCCACAGTTTGCTTCTGGCGAACTTCCATTCGACGTCCGCGCGTTCCTGATTGGGATCAGAGAACACGATGGTCACACGAAAACGCTGATTCGTTCGTTCGAATCCAAAGGGATTAAAGATAGAGGATCACTCACGGAGATCAGCTGATAGGAATGGTTCATCATGGCGATCAATAGGTTCAACAGCACCACGATGTTGATCACCGAATAGGTCCCGAACATCAGCATACCCCAGAACCTGGTGAACGCTTTGATGCCGTCCAGCTCGAAACTCTCGAGATCGACCAGACCGAACACCGCCCAGAAGAGGGTCTGCGCTGTTTCGAAGAGGCTGGCGGGTGGGAATTAAAAGAATGTTATCCGAAATACAGTTTAATTATAAATTGTTCATTGTGGGGATATAATCTCGTCCTTATGAAAGGAAAACTACTTCGACTCATAGTTTCCCAATCTTTTTTGACTCACCATCCTCTTTATAAAGTTTTTGTTTGTTCATTGCCCCCTTCTTAAAACTTTAAATTGAAATTTAAGAGAATAGAATAACTAGAACACCCCTTCAGAACCTATGACCTAGACCAACGTTCGTTTTCTTATTGAATTTACGATCTTGTGACTACAGATGTTTATGTAATTTCATACTTTTTATCGATTAATCGATAAATATGAAAATTAAATATAGGATTATGTCTTTTGTAAATTGAAGGTGTCATGGAGGCAATATTACCATTTTGCCACCTTTTTTCTCTGTTGAAGTTACGTCAGTTTTCATTTAACAGTCGTGTAGTGTGGGCCATCCAATTTTATCAAACAACGTGTCATTGTAATAAGAACTTCTTATCGAAATCAATCGTCCGTTGTGTAACCACAAAGAAAATTACAATAAATTTTCGATTGTGAACATATGTCAAGGGAACCACTGTTCTCCGTATAAAATTTAAGATCTTCTTCTTACAAAGATGGCTCCAACACATTACCATTTACAATAATATTATTTCATCAACAACCAATTCAGGCTTATTAATATTAAAATACATACTTTGCAAAACGTCGCCACACGATGCAGGCATTCGAGTCGGTGGTGACGCTGGCGTTAGGGGAATAAGACATCGCTGACGGACACCTCTTCTTCTCCATGTCAGCGTAGTACCAAAGTAATTGGTTCAGACCTATCGACAAACATCGTTTCATCGCCAAATTATCTATTACACGGTGCTCGTAGATATTTTTTTATTCAATAGAGGATTCCGATCTGTTTACCGCAAGAGAATGCGAACAGCACCAGCACGTAGAGGAAGAAGAATTTCATAATGTCCATGACCATCCTGGACAGGGAGACTTGCAGAGGTCCGAGATGAGGGTTCACCGAGAAAATGTAGACGAGTTTCAAAGAGCTGGAAGAATATGAAACGACTCTCTGTTCAATTATACGACGCGGTTAAAGGGCGTTGACGAGGACAGGGCAGCGTTTTAAGCAGAGTGAAATTAATGCTGAAAGAGAAATCCCTAATTATCTCCCAGGGTGGAACTCACGCTGTGGCACGTTAATGGCATTTCGAAACGGAAAAATTCGTAATTACTCGTCTAATTAAGACAGCGGTGTTACGCGTGAGAAGAATTCTTTGCAACCGGTACAATAAGTTAAGTGTAACCGTATGATATACCTGATGCAGGCAAAATTACTGCATCGAAAGATGAACTGAATACACCAATTTTACTAAATACACCAATCTTGTTTAAACGAATATTTCATTATTCACTTACTCAATAATTTCTCTTGTCGAATATAATTTAATTAAAACTTCTCGTTTTTCAACCTCGTTTCCCTCACGGCACACTTGAACCCACAGTTAAACTTCCAACAACGATACACTCGTATAATCAATTTAAATACGTAATTTTGATATGTACACTCATTGAACTTTCGATTACTTTCGAAAATAATTCAATTAATAATCTCGAAAAATTTTTGTGAAACACCAAAGATCCTCTCACTGCTATATGTATACTATGTTCCTATAACAGTTCATATTTTTATTTTCTCTTAATTTTGACGTATGCATACTATCCTTAAACCCGTAAAATAATTATCTAAATAAATAAATAATTGCCATAGACTAATGACCTGAATATATTGGCGGCGGAGAACAGGCCCTCCGATATAAGCATCGGGTCCCACGTGTCCCATTGTTCGCGTTGCAGTTCGATCACGGTACCGGCCTCCTGGCTCTCCATCTCCTTCTGCACCCTGTAGTAAGCAACTACACGTAACGCGACGGTGGCGACGTAAAGTGAGTTCGTGACGAAGTCGATCACGTTCCACATGTCGTTCACGTACTCCTCGAGGCCGACGTCCCACAGCTGCTTCACCTCGGACCAAATCAGACCGGACACCCACGCCAGGATGAACCTGCAAGACACACAAATATAGCACACCCCGATCTGACTCCATATCATCGCGTCTCCCTGCTGTCCTTCGCGACATCGGGCACGAAAACGCGAAGGCCCTCGAGAAATGTAATTTCGAACGACGACGACGACGATGCTCCCGTTCCCCCTCTTCGATACGAGTGGAACGGAACTCGAGTGTATCGCGGAGGAGAGTGGAAACATCGCGAAATTGGATTGCATTTTCACTTTTAAGGAGATCATTCTCTCTGTCTGTCCCGGCGGAGATGAAATATTTTTTAAACGTTCTATTCGACCTACTCGAGCTTTTGGTAATCTTTTTTTTTATGTTTTGCTATTGACAAGTTGGGGATCGTGGGATTAACGAGGGGTTAAATTAAAAATTTTTGTATGGTTGGATACTTAACTTGGAATGTACAGGATCGTCGGCTGAGATGGGAAAATTCGTTATGGAGATATAGAGTTTCGAATAACGAATAGGAGGTAGGGAAGTACTTCGTTATTTTTAATCGTCTGAATGTGAAAATTACAATTTTTATGATGAAATAATACTTCTTTTTGAATGAGAAGATATTTGGCAAAGAAATATTTAATGCCATTAACTGTTTAGAACTCAGGATAGTGCTTTTAGAGACTGTAGCTTTTCGAATAAAATTATGACCAACTCTGATGGTCGGTAATGGGTAGTGGAATCCACAAAGGGATCAATGTTCATGAGAAAGTATGTTGAATATCTTGAGGAAAATTTGTTTATGTAATATTCTATTTTCGAGAAAATTGTCTGATAAGCATGCTTTTTCCCAATAAGTAGAAATTGCATGTAGTGAACAGACGTCAGCAGGGCTGTGCAATGGTTACGTGTACCTGACACATTAAAATACATTTTTCTAAAATGAAATCTCTTTTGCAGACAATTTTCTTTCATGAAGTATCATCCTCTTACGATTGCAACTCGGATGGAATTATTTTTCTCCACCTTTCACTGAAATATGGTACACAATTCAAGAATCTGGAGTTAGAAACTGTATTTAGTATAATAAGCTTTTCGGGATAATCACACAGTGATTCAGTATCAAAATTTAACAGTACATCAAATTATTCAGCACGGAGCAATAAAAAATTCTAAATCATATAACATTTATGTGAATAGAAGTAGGATAAATGAACAAATTTTTATCAATTCTAGGGATCCTCTTTGACGATCTCATCATCCATTCACAGTGTTCGCAGCATCCTTATAAAAGTCTGAATTTTTAAGGAATCTTTTTTCTATCTTCTATTGATATATGTATACACTTTTAAAAAGTGGCACCCCAACTAAGAGGTTAATAAAAAGTTGACCTTCGATTTTTGGAAGATAAAAGAAATATGTGTTTGGCCACTTGGGTTGCTAACTTTTGATTCTGGACCATCAGCCTAATTTTCCCTTTCGAACATAAAACATGGTTGCATGTGCACCAGCTTCATATACTTGATTCACACCGTACATGTTTATTTTCCTTAAAACTTTCTGCGGCTCGATGCAGTTTTAGACAGTGGGATCCGCGAATGCGATGACTGGGGATATAAACTTTCGCCGTGGACTACTTTTCAATCGCGTCTGCCGTTTCTCTGAAAACATGTTTACCCGCCCGTTCTATTGGGCTTTGAAATCGCCGAATGAATTGATTCCCCCGTCGTGGTATGTGACCTTGACAGAGATTCGCGGGGGAGAATAACAGTGGGCATCCGTTCCGGTTTTTATTCGCAATGTCGACGAAACAACGGTTAAAAATATTGCCTTACCATTCGACGATCGTGGGCGCTGCACCCCGTTTCGTTGGCGCTGGCTCGTCGTGCTCGACGACGCCGTGGCCCATCCAGTTGCCAATCACGCTCTCTATCCTCTGACTAGCTAGAATCAACATGACTGTGGACAGAACGCGTCGGGGTTAGATTCTGTTCGCAGTCTTGGTGAAAATTTGCTCGTTGCTGTTTATCATGTTAACACGTTGATTGCCGTGGAGGTCACAGATGACCAACGACAGATTTACCAAATACGCTACCAAGGGTCATCGATGACCGATGATATCAGAACTAATTAACTTATTCATTATATTTTGTTATATTTTGACAACTTTTTTTAATTTCATCAGAGTTACATGTAATAATTCCCATTATAATGTTATTGTACATAATAAAACACAATTTTTCTTAACTTTGATCAATAAACCCTTTTGAAATATTTGAATTATTTTTATTTCTGATGGTCCAAAATTGAACTATTTTACGATCAAATAATAATGATCGTCTACTTGTGAGTTAGATAGAAAGCTTAATGCCGGTCACTGATGTCCGCTATGGAGGTGAATGCGTTAACAAACTAAAAACTGTATCAAAGCAACATTTTGCTTTCACTTTATTCGAACCAATAAACCAACTAACTCAAACCAACAAGTCACAGATTCTTGAAGCTCTTAGACCTTACAAAAATCTATTCTTTTTAACATTTCATTATAAATATTATCTTTACTATCGGACCAAAATATATGGTCCCTAGCAAAATAAATGTACAAACTATGGTAGCACGGCTTACCTTGATCATTTTATATTATATTCTAGAATTATGTATTTCGTACAGTGAAAATATTGCTGTAACTCTGTTGGCAAGAGGCGTAAAATTTGTCCGCCAGTCAACGTGTTAGCAATGATATCACAGAAATTCTTTTAACAATTGTCATTTACGTTATTCAAAATCATCCTGGAACTAGTTACCAAAGAAGTACATAGGTGTGCAAAGTATTAGGCTCATGATAGACTTTCCACAATATGTTACTACTTTCAATGTATCAATGTATTAACTGCACTCATTTACTTTCTTTACAAACTCTAACTTTCCTCGATCAAATACGTGTAACCACGAATAATAGCCTCTTAACCACACCGACTGCAACAGTGGAAAAGGTTATACGTAGTCAGACAATTTTACTTCGTTTTTTAAAAGTATGCTGCAATATTAATTTTATGGAAAACTTTTGTGACGGTATTTAAATAATCTAGCCTCTTTGCAGCGTACAGTAAATCCTTCACGAGTGTTTAAAGGCTCCTCGGCACTGAACATTAAATATTTCATAAACTAATGGCCATATACGCCTGAAACAGATATTATTGGCTTCACAATTCCGAGCTCACTGTGCTAAACCTAATTAAAGAATCAGTGTTACACCTCTCCTCGTCAGTGCCGGGGACCCTTCGAGCACTCATCGACGATCTACTGTACGTGTCAACCATATTTGGGTTGACGTGGCAGTCAAAGTGTTAATCAGACGAACTTCAACGCAGCCAAACTACAACCTTCCGATAAAGGTGACTGCCTACAAAGCAAGTCATGTGAGGGACCAATAATGATTGACGACCGCATCAGTACTCTTTTTCTCTCTCTGAGCATCATTCCGTAAACGACGGATATAAAAGAAGTCCGTTTACATACATCCCGCTTTTCGCCCGAAAGTTTATCAGATTCCGGTCGGCCTCGTTTCCTGCGACGTATTTTACCTTTCGGCACGTCGGCCAGTCAAACATCGGGGTCCCAGTTCTAAACAGTTTACAAATACCTCTCAGTACCGGCGGTTTACGAATACCTTTCTCACTACATACCAATAATAGCCACGCGGTAATGCTCTAAATTTGAGTCATCGGGAAACCATTACTACTAGGATGAAACGATCCCCTTCTTTTCTCTCTTCTTCCGTTCTCATATCTTCCATTACAAGCTGCTGGTCCTCTGGTTCCCTCTGGCGGTTCCCACCCTGAAATTCCTGCGATCGGAATCCACTTACCGGCTGACAGACACACGCGTCCCTTGTTCCTATTCCATGGTCCCTTCGGTCGTTTAAGGGGTTGGACCACTTTGGATGAATGTCAGACATTTTCGGCAATTTTTTTTGGGAAGATATTTAAATAAATGTTAGTGTACCGCTTTCGACTGAAAAAGTTGTATTTTTTGTTTGTTTGTATGATTGTATAAAATGGCGGTGCTAGAGCCGAGATACGCAAACATCTTTCCCAAGGCCGTTCTCCACGGTGTTCTACCTCACGGCTATATTATTTGATCTAGAGCAAAAAACCAAAGATTCTTATTTTCTACATGCCAAAAACTAAAAAAATATAAATCTATTGATTTTTGGAAGTATTCATCTGTGCGGAAATGGTGAAGAGAAAGTATCATCAAGTACATCTTTTCGCAGAAAAATTTAGTACAAAAGTGTCAATTACTAAAAATCTGTTAAAAACATCGCAAAATTCATATATATATTTCTTTAGTTGTTGACATCCAGAGAATAAAAATCCTTGGTTTTTTGCTCCAGGTCAAATGGTGTAGCCTTGAGGTTCGAACACCGTCGCTCGAAAATATGCGTTGTTTACCTCAGTTCTAGTCCCTGTATTTTGTCAGAAAAAACACGAACAAAAAATACGACCTTTTCCGTCGAAAAATATACAATAAAATACTTCATATTGAATTTTCCATTTATTTCATCATGTTCCCAAAAAAATTGTCGGAAATGACTGACTCTTTCCATTTCGAAACTAGGTCGCGAATGCGAGATTCGTTCGTGCACGATTTTCAGAAGGCGATCTGCTCGAAGGATTCAGGGGGAAAGATAGTCATTTACCCGGAAGTTAGGTTAACGATATTTTGAGGCGGATACCACGCGACCGTGTGAGGTAATGCACTCCTCCTGATCGCGGAGAGTGTAGGTGGATTATTCAGGAACGGAGCCCGGTTAATCTTGGTTAGCTGCGAGTGTGTAAACCGCAGGTAACGACGGTTTACGGTACCGATCGACGACGTTGACTCGACTTGACACCGCTAATCTGGCCGTAGATTTCATGTTACCGTTTAGAGAAGAAGGTTTCTGGTCCGTCGAAAGATGTTTGAGTTGGAGATTCGAGACTTTCGCGGCTAGATACCGTATGAATATTATAGAGGGTGTCTAGTTCATTCATACAATTCGTACAATCCACTGTATGGAAAAATTGGCCATACAAGAAGTGAATAATTTCAAGATGAACATAATTTTGTGTAATTAATTTCATTGTAGATGTGATATCAAGGTGACACACGGTTTTTAAAATGGAATTATATAAGTAACCTGCATTGACATTTCCTACGAAAAAGTGTTAAATTATCTTTAGAAATGCTCTACGTGTTCGTTATTTAATTCCGTGAGCAACAAACCGAATAAATTAGCAACCATGAAATTCAATCGGGATATTATGCAAAAGCAATCGTCGAATGGTTTAGAAGTGAACAACCGGGGCGTATATATACTCACAGAGGAACGTGAAGTAGGAGGCCGAGTGACAGATGAACTTGATGAACGGTTTCCTCATCGTCTGCCCGATCACGCTGTGCGGCGCGATGATGTACGCGACGCTGTAGAACGGGAAAAGTACACCTATCCGCACGATATCCACTGCCTGGAGGACCATGTTTTTCCGCCGGAAACCCGGAAGGCCCTCGTACCAAATCGACGCCAGTAGCTGCTGCACGTTAGGATGCGCCACGAACTGGAAATACCCGGGGATAATCTAATGTCGGCCGACAGTTTTCGGTCATGTCGCCGGGAAATTCTACTTATTACGATCTAATCTTGGAGTTAGAAGCGGAGACGCGAGTCCGATCCCTTCAAGACCAACGCGATTACGTCGATACCGACTCGCGGCTCGACCCCGTCCGATTCCCTTCGGGACGATACGATTGAACTTTCGACGGCCGAATCAAATATTTACGGGGTACTTTAACCGAACTGGGAACCGAATTCGCTGGAAGGTCGATAAGGGGACGACGGCCGGGGCTGGGGCCGTCGATTTTTATGAAACTTTCAGTGGACTTAGAAATGTAAATAGATACAATCCTGTAAGTGATCCATCCACGAGTCATCTGAATCTGTTTAGTAAAGTTAGGGCAACTTTGTGTTTGTGTAAACGGGCGTGTGCATGGGATATGAATTATATGAATCTGAGAAACTGTAGGAGGCATTTTCATAAATATATATACCAAGATTTGGAATGAAATGCCCGTCACTTTTTGTCCGTATTGTAAATTTGAATAAGTTGTAAAATACGGTTATAAAAGAACTTTTTGTTATAAAGAAATTGTAATTTGGAGAAATTGCTGAAAGCGTATGATTGTTCATAAAAACCTATGAAACTGGTCTATTAAAAGAATTGTCCTATATTTTACGGTTTACAAGATATACCAAGAAGTGGTTTCACTTCACATCGACGATTTACTGTACCTACTTCTCAAAAAAAAATCTCTGGCTAATTGTAAGAAGCAAACAGATAGAAAAGTATGAAAATTAAAGATTTTTTCACCAGTGTTTGCATTAAACAGACATTGGATCTTTGCTTGCCTTCTTCTGTCGGAACTTGATGGCCAGCTTCAGGCGATTCAGGTGCATCCTCTCCCCGTGCTCGAAAGCTGGCCCCGTGGGATCGTGATTCAGGAGGATCTCGAGCTCCTTGGAACTTCTGGTGTGATCCAACAACGCGGTGGCGAAGTCTTGACACTGCCTTCTAAGCTCCTGTAAGCGAAACGTTAGTGTTTCGGTGTGGAGACACGCGTGAATTGGGAGAGCCGTGAACAACAACATCAACAAAGTCACGGGACAAGATACTGTAAAGGCGAGCTTGTGACTTTCATCGATCGAGAGTTCGTTTCCCTGCGCCACTCGACAGCAGGTGGGACACAGCGTCCCGAAACTTATTCCAGGAGCAACGTTCCCTCGAGCATGATCAAAGTCAGCGTTGCACGCTCTTGAGTGCCTTTAACTGGGGAACTTTCGAAAGTTTTTTATGGAAGAATTTGGAAAGAACGTCGCGTTTTACTTGAAGGAACGGATTAAAAAAGTTGGAGCGTGCCCGCTGCTCGAGTACCAATTCAGCACCTTTGTAATAAGGAATTGCCTCGAGAAATTCAAGGGAAAGGAGAATGATAGAAAATGGCCATTTTGTGTAGTGAATGGGAAAGTTGTAAAAGATGAAGTGAAAATGTGGAAATAAGACGAAGATTAACGTGTTAATTTTTGACGCCATTAAATTATATGAAAGGACCTTCAATTATTAAACCGTAAGAATTACAATCTTGTAACTACAATTCACAACAGAATAAAAACCTTAATTGATTTACTATGCCAGACAACGTGTCAATATTTATGTACTTAATAACAAAACCATAAACGTTGTATTTTATGATGATATACTTATAATTTTTTATCATAAATGACGACACACTATTCATTCTATAAAAGATTTTTTTAAATATTCGGCTAACAATTTTTCAACTCCAAGTGGTGCCCGAAGTGGCAATTCACCATTTTCCCCATTTTACCTTGGACACTATGAAACGAGGTCCACGAAAAGATCGGACAATAATTTATTCCCCTTCGATACGTACCGATCGCCTGGAAGATTTAAACGATCATCCCTTACAATTTGTAGCGTAACGGGCTTCATTGCTTTTAAATTGAAGGGCCAATAGGGAGGGTTCGTTTAATGGCCCAGGAAAATGGTAGAAGGTATATAGTTCGAACGAACGAAAATCGAAAAAAAAAAAAAAACGAGGTAAACATGATTCTACAGGGTATCGTCGGACGTCTATTCGACGGTTCGTTGAAGGAGATCTCAAGATGGTTCGATAGACCGTCATTCGGGAGGAATGGGGGAAAAAAGGGCCAGGCAGCAGGTATAGCCACTTTTTTGCCGTGCAAAAAGGCGAAGGCGGGAAGGGGGCTTTGCTTCGTGTAATCTATTTTCGTTAATCGTTTACCGATCCCGCGACAGGCTTAATCAATTTGCTACCACGGATGATTTATTTCAGCCTCGACATCGTTCCCAGAGAGGTCGGGGATCGGGTGATCTTCGATGTCAAAGTTTCGTGATACACAGAGGAATCTTAAGGTCTTCTGACGTTGCGCGTCTGCCAATTGATTACTCCACGGAACTCGGATAAATGGAACCGATTTTCCGGTACATTAGACTACCAATGGAAAGTCTGTGATGCTGGGATCAAGGCTCGTCTGGGATCCTTGTCCAGTTTGCGAGTTCGAACGTACAGCACACACTGTTTTGTCGCTCAACCTGGCTTTTTCAGAAGATCGTCCAAAGCATATCACGAACGAAATCACGTGGCGAGATATCTCGTCCACCGATGATGAAACAAACGAATTCTTATTAATTATTCTCACTGTAGAGAAAATGCAAATTACATTCAGTGTTGTGAACAATCTTAACAATCTGTGTAATCAAAGAGTGTATTGTATTCAGGAATATTAATCCGAATGAATTGTTGCATATTAACATAAATTTAGAAAAATAAAGTAAATAAAGTTTCACAGCATGATTTTACAATTTTCAAAATTTTCTTGAACACTGTTATTCTCGAAACTTTACTGTTTTATGTGGGTTCCTGATGCAGAGAATAATTTTAAAAATCCCCAAAATCTTCGCGTTCTTCAATTTCCGTATAGAATTCGAGTAAAGGAGACGATTTCCTGCAAAAAAAGGCGACGTTGGATGGGAAATCGCTGACGGAAAGATCAGGAACGACGCGCGTCGAGGCCTCGTACTTGGCGGCTCCGCGCCAAAACAAATATTTGCGACATCAAAGCGATATACGAAGCGACCGGTATGTTTTCCTAATATCACCGAGTGCATCGCGTACTTCGCACGACCACGAAGTTCAACGGTGAACGTTAATATCGCGCGACCGTGAAAACCCTGGGACAACCGTGTCCCTGTCTTCTGGTTCCGTTGGATTTTCCTACCGATCCCCGCTTTGAGACAATCCACGAGCAGTATTTCGAGACGTTCCGGATCCGACCCACGTGTTCCTCGGGTGTTTACGAGAATTAACAACGGCCCCGTTTGCTACGCGGGAAACGCGACCGTCTTGTGTCAACAAAGTTGTCCGCGAGACATAAGCAAAGCGTGCGCGAAACTGGAAGACCCCGAGAAACCGTTTCCTGCGATTCTCGCCTCCATTTCTCTGCGAGAATTCCTTTTGTGTCGTCTTTGCATGCTGGTATTCGACAATAGCGATGGCGGACTGCAATTCAGTTTAAATTTGGGGTTGATAATATTCTGTGGAACTGATTGTATGCAGTTTCGTGTAGTGAGAAATAATTGAAATTGATGTGCAATTGATTTTTTGTTATTTTTTCATATTCACAAATATTGATTAATTTTTTTTAAATTTGGTAAGTTTTTTCTATGTTGAAGGATTTATTTTTGAAGTGTTCAGCTACCGTGGGAAATTGTGACAGTTTCAGTGGCTGAACAAAATAGTGGAGATCAGTATATAAGGATACTCGTACAATTCCTGTTTATATCACTGACGTTTACACTTATAATCAGTTTAGTGGAACTTAAAGTGATCAAAAGGGTCAGCAATACTATCAGTATTTATGTATACTGAGTACGAATGATTATTATTAGGGATATGTAAACATAATGGCGGTTCTTTCACCGAAAAAAAAACTAAACTTAAACAACTAAAAAGAACACCGAAAGTTCCAGTAGACAGATCCCCGAATCTCGAAGCTCCGCGAGTTTCCAGCGCGAAGTCTGGAACGTATCTGCGGGGCAAGAATATATATCTTTCAAAGAAATAAAATCAATGACGGGTATATACATGGAAGAACAAAAGGGAGACTCCGTTTCACCCGTACCTCTTTCCTTTCGTGTTCACAAAAAAAAAAAGAACGCAGGCATCTATTCCCATTTCCCAAATACCGTCGAAGAGACGTCGCGCCTCCGGGAACATTTTCAGCTTTTCCCGGCGAATCGGCGCAATTTGTCTCGAATCCAATGTCGAAAGGTGGAACGAAACCGTCGAATATGATATCGCGAGCTTCGCTTCGACGATTCACAACGGATCGGTCGCGAACGCGAGCGAAAAAACGTAATCGAAGGGAAAAACTAGAGCGAACGGAAACGGAGTGAAACCCCGAAGTTCAGAGGGGTTGTTTTATACATCTTTTCGCGGACACTTTTTCGGCCTGGGTATCAAGTTTCCTACCAGCAAATTGAATTTCGCGGTCTGCCCAGCATAATTGAGTACTTCTTCAAGTTGAGCTATCGTTTACCATCAGAAAAACGTACACTGGATCGATTTGATTGTTTCAAACATCCCCTTCCGATTGTTCTGAGATTTTCGAAAGGATCAAACCAAAGTTTTCTATTCGTAGATTGTGAATTATCGAGTTGTTTGCACAGTTGAGATCGCGAAGGGTAGAATCTCGTGATCAATAAGTCACTTTGGATTTTTGCCAAAACATAGAAGATGGTGCGGGTAAAAATATGCGACAGAAAAAGGGGATAAAGGAATAGAATGGAGTTTACAGTGAGGCGAGCGTGTCAGGAATGGACCGTACGGTGATTTATTCTTATATAAATCAAAAGTTGCTCGGTGCCTTGGTGAACGGACCGAATCTCCCTGCTTAAGAAGAATGGGCTTTAGGGGGGAGATCGGCACGCTTGACAAAACTTGTTTCTGACTTGAATTAATTGTCTCGTGGTGGTAATTTAGATAGTGGATTTTCGTGTGGAAATATAGGATCGTATGGTTAATTTACTGAAATTAAACAGATAACTGTTCAAATTATGATATCGAAGGTTCAAGGTTTCGAATATAATCTGCATGTGTTGCAGAATCAGCCCTACAAATTATTAGAAGAAATAATTCTTTCTGTAGCTTCCCTAAAAAACGAATTTCGGTAACTCGCAAATTCCGATTTCTAAAAAAATTTCACAGATTTGTAGGAGATCACAATAGAAATATCGAATAATTTTCCGTTTTTGCTGATATTCGATTCTTCGGGGTGAAACCACCCCTTAAATGTTAATGTGTCTTTTCCTATTTTAGTATGTATTTTGAAAACTGTAGTAGATATGAAAAAACTGTTGCAAAGAAAATTTAGTAGTTGCTTATGCTCTACAAAACTGTGCAATAAAATTGTTGGTAATTTATTTTTTAAATAAATAAATAAATAAGCAAACAAATTTTTAACAATTTCATGACACAGTTTTGTAAATCATAAGAAGTCATTAAATTTTCATTGTAATAGTATTTTGATATTTACTATAGTTTTCAAGATATATAGGAAAATAGGAAAACACATATTAGACTTTAAGTTGTGGTTTCACCCTGAAGAACCGACTATCAGGAAGGATGAAAAATTGTCCGACGTTTCTATTAAGGTTTCCTACAAACCTGCAGGGTTTAAAAGAAAAATCGGAATTTTCGGGGTACCGAAGTCCCTTGTATAAGTGAAACAGTAGTGACGAAAACCTGTCATTTTTTTCGAAGAACACATGAATTCTTCGAAAACAATACATTATTTTATTTTCCAAAAAATCGAAATTTTATCGAAACTATAAGCGATTCTGCATTGTCTAAAGAATATTCACAGTTACGTAAACCGTACATTTTTCTGTCTCACCTGGTATTCGCACTTAAATTCGTGCTCGAGAAAGGAGAGCCTCCGAAGTTCCCAGGAGAGCTCGAAGGCAGTCAGAATAGGATCCTTTGAGGATAGAGCTATCAAGGACGGCGAAGCCAGCGCTCTGTAGGCGTTGATCCGACTTCTGGAATGCTTCAGGGAATCGTCCTTTCTGGACGTTACGCATTCGTCGCACCTGTGAATGACAGATGAGACGAAACTGAACGTCAAAAATGCTTGTAAATCTTAAGAAAAATTTATGTAAATTATTAACGGGTATTTTCTGTATTCTCGTTAGATCAATTTAAGTTCATTAATGCTGACCTAGTTTTTGTCAATCGATTTTCAAATAATTATTGGACTGCCACTTGGTACCATAAATATCATCATCAGCTTAATGAGTTAATTTATCGTACACTATGTTAGCCGATGTTTACGGATATTCAAAATGTATTTTCGGTAAGGGGTTAGAGGCTCATCGCATGTGACAAATCCTGTAATTCAATTCGCTGGATGAAATTTGAGCCTGATAGGGGAGCCTCGCAGTGCATCTAGCCTAACTTAATTAGTTTACGTGGGTTCTGCTCGAAGATTGCAAGGGCAAGATGCTAAACCAGGCTGGGGAAATTAATCGGAGCGAAATAGTATACCTAACGAGCAATTGTAGCTCCCCATGTATACGTTTCACTGAGGTCATTTATGGATTTAGTTGCGACCTTCGTTAAATAATCATTAAAAATTTTGTAGATTCTATTTTACTTATTATTATTGCAACTTGTATTTTATTATTCGGAGGTTCGTAGCGTTTCAGGCTGCTTCTATTTATCTTTTTACCGAGAGAGTTAGAAGTCGATTGATCGTACGAATATACACTGTCGTGGAGGGATGCTTCGAATTTATCCTGAGAGAGGATCTACACTTTTGTTTTGCGGTGAGATACGTATGAAAAAGGATGAGTAAGCGCAAAGTGACTTTACGTCATGCTACGTTAAACGTGTATGAAAAAATACACTACTTCCACTGGGAAATTTTACAGCGTCTACCTTATTTAGGACATTTCCGGGTTAGGTTGTAAAACATAATATATGAACATATTTTTTCTTTATCCCTCGAGTTTTTCCTTTTCTTTTTTATAAAATTATTGCATCGTATTTGTTGGGGCGAATAAAGACTTAATGATAATAATAATTTACCAGATATTGATCTCGCAAATGATCTTTCGTTTAGATTCACAAGATTTTGTAAACTCGAGTGTTATCCACGATCATGTTGAAATATTCTCTAACCAGCAGGATAGAAACTTTATTTAACTGGTTTAATGAAATTATTCGAGAAAATGAAGTAAATTACACAATAAATTATTCTATTTCCTTTATAAGGTCGTGCTTAGTCGCCTCCTATATCTTTATTATTAGCACTGTTATCCCTATTATCCCGTGGTGTTAGCTAGCAGTAAGCAGCAAATTGTTGTTTGTTCGCAAAATTGTATTAACTGCTCTAGAAGATCCTGCTTCCACAACCGACTGCGCGATGTTATAACGGAAATATTATAATACATAAATTGACCACTAAAGATCGTAGTTTTATTCTTGAAACTCTACGAACCATCCGAAGAATTCGAAGGGTTATTGTATTTATAAATGGCGAAATTATTATTTTTGAAGTGTCACTTACCCGCAACGAACATCGTGAGGCATAGGCAACGTAGATCCACGATCCAGAAGAATCTTAATGATCTCGTAGTTGTCCCTATGAGCGGACAAAATTAGGGGTGTAATGTCCGGCGTGAAGGTAGCTGTGTCCGGCGGCACTGCTTCCCAGCTCTGGAAACGCAAACAACAATTTCCCCTCACGTAAATCCATAACATTCGAACGACTTCCTATCTGAATTTCTTGTGTAATGCCGCAGAGATTTCCGTCCGACATGAATAATTTTTACGTGACTTATTATACTGTATAATAGTACGATTTCATCGTCAGTTGCCAATTGAGTTGGCATCTGGAGCAGAGCTGTAAACCTTTCGAAGCCAACCAGCTTGGCGCTTGGAGACCAGGGTGTTAAAAATTGACCTGGATTCGGTACGCAAATAAAGTTCGAATTATGAAATGTATTCTTATGTGGTATGCAACGTGACAACTATGGACACCTACAGTAAATCCTTTATGAATGTTTGAAGGCTCCTCGGTGCTGAACGTTAAATATACTTTAAACTAATGACCATATGGAGCTGAAACGAATATTATTGGTTTGAGAATTTCATCCCCTATCATTGTGCTAAACCTCATTAAAAAGTCAGTATTACACCTGGGGATCTTCCCTTGTCCATGCCAGGGGGCCTTTGAACACTCATCGAGGATTTACTGTACTCTGGACCGACATGAAATTTGACTGAATTGTTACCCCGACGGTAGAATATACCTGTTTTAACCATTCGTTTACTAGTAAGAAAAACACACATGAAGAATCTTTTATTAGAGACCCTGAAGCCCAAAGACAATTAAATCAAATTCTAAAAAAATTTGTTTTCATTACTAAATAATTAATAATGTACTATGAAAATTGATTTTTCTTACTTCTGTCACTCTTCTAAAAAACCGATGATACCATCGAACTAAGACCAATAAAATCGGAAATCGCTTTTTCTCCCCAATGTCTGCTAAAAAATCCTCTTAACCCTTCAGCTCGAGAACTCGATTATGGTCGACTATACCTTCGAAACGTTCAAATTCAGTGACCAGTGACAATAGTCACCTTTTATCCTCGACGAACTATCGGCAACAGATGATTGCACTTGCAGCCACTAAAAGATTTCTTATCGTTACATCTCGACTGAAACCAATGATTGGTGGAAACCGTTCAGAATCGAGTGACGTTGACCACGGAACGACGGGCTGACGTCCAAACAATCCCAAACGGGAAAACGGTAACGATGTTAACGAGAAGCTTTATTTTCCACGGACTGGACGCAATAAACAGCTCGTCGTCCCTGGTGGGGGAAGGTCCGTTTCAACAATTATTCCCGAAGTTCCGCGTAAGCGGATTCCCAGAAAAATCCGATTAAATTAAATCCTCCGATACCCTGTCTCTTTCCGCCTTCGTCTCCTACTTTCTTTTTCGAGTGCTCGAACGCGTTAGTGAGCTTCGTCAAAGATGGGATCCGGTCGCTTCTCTTTGTCCAGCAGCTCGCTACGAGCCTGGAAAAAAACTTGGCGCGATTAAAATGTAGCCCGACCTATTTGTCGTTGGAATCTACTTAACCCGTCCCTCTCTGGCCTGTCCGAGGGAATCGACGGAGGAATTTCGATAACTGAAACGAGATTGCCTCACGGGAATGGACGCAATCATGACGTAATTACGAGGCACGGCGATCAAGATGAAAAAAAAAAACGAATGATCGAAGCGTAGGGGTTCCGAAAGGATAAAACGGTTTTGTGATAGAAATGACGGAATTCGACTAACGTGACGCTCCCCGTTTCTGTGAAGTGTCTCTTCGTGCTCCAGGAGAACCTCTACCGCCTCGACGAATTGCTCGGAGATGGCGTGGAGACGAGCGTCCTTGGTGTCGACCTTGTGCTCGAGCAGTAGCTCCAGCATTTCCAATTTTTCGTTATCGATCGCCATCAGAAGGGCCGATCGTCCTAGAGGATCCACGCAGTTGATATTCATATCGGTTTCCTGGGCACTCTGGAGCATCCTGAAACAAACAGATCCGACCGTTGTTAATCACGACTTTGTTGTCGTTGAATAGAAGAATTGGAAAAGTATTGTTTTTCGCCTAACAAACGTGGGTACACGAACCGCTGGTTTTAGCGAGACTGACCCACAGTGAACGAGATTCAAGGACGATTGATTGGTTCTTGTTTTACTTGGAGGATTTTTGTAAATCCTGGTACTGGTTCTAAGCCAGTATATTAATATTAGAACTATCACACCAGTGAAAATGACTGGTTTTACAATTTCATTTTAAAATTCCTATTTCATATTACATTTTTTTTCCGCAATGATGTGATGACTTTTGCAGCGATAACTGAAGGTGTAATATAATGACTTTTGTTTTTGTTTCATTATTTTTTTGAAAGGAGATTCACCAATTGACCTAGGAATGGCGTAAGTGTCTGGAAAGTGATGAGGAATATTTTTAAGACTAGATTGTATTCTGGTTGTTTGTGAATAAACAACAAATCTATGAAAAGAAGGCTACGAAATAATTTGTGCACCTAATAAATTCTTCAGGAGTTGGATCGATTCTTTCATTTTCTTGTGATAACACACAAATTTGAGTGGTAGAGAAACTTTTCTTCATTAGTTAATTTTTAACGAAGACCGAAATGTTTCCTTTGGGGCCGATTAGTAGCATCGTAGTTGTAGGTGTGTCACATGGAAGGTAGAAATTCGAATGGAGGAGAAACTTCTATGTTTGGTAGTACGTATCGATCTGGGATTCCTGAAATTAGCTTTTGTCAAAAATTAAAAAACCGCCCTTAGCCTTAACGCACACGATCCGCTTCATAAAGTTTGAAGGGACTGAAACAATATAGGCCCTTCTAGTCCTAAAACAGCTAGGTACTTTGCGAGACAACAATAACAAAAGATGAGTGTCAAATCATATACCCTGTAAGGAGTGAAGAACGAGAATCAATGTTCTCAACGAGGTCAGGAACAACAGAAGAATGTTAGAATACAGTTTACTTTTACTTTTTTCAGAAAATATATTATTTAAAAAAAAAATTTCCAAAAGAAATTATTTTTTTTTAAATTTCTTCCTATCGATATATGGACAACTAGAAACGATGTAAAATTTATCCAAACTTTGTTTCAATATCTTTTGTAATTTACGAGTCACAAGTAAGTAAAAAGACGTCTTCGGATAGAAAGGATGATTCTTCCCTTAAAGTCTGAAAGTAGCACCAATCAAATAGGATATAATTCTCAGCTTGGTCCCATAAACAATTGATCGAAGTTACAGAAGAATCGACACGTTTTTAATTCAGGGATGAAAGATACACCCGGAAATCCGATGTTACCGATATCCGAATCACGCTGCAGACGTTTTTCCATAGCCGTGACACTCGGTGTCCGCCATTATTCTCGTGATACGAACGGCGAGACCGGCCAGTTCGAAACGACGTATGTATTTCGGTCTGTCCCGTTTACCAGACCGAGCCAAATGAGAATTCCATGGCCGCTGAAACTCCCTCGTAGATCGCAATCGGTATTAATTGCGTCAGGAGCACCGCGGTAAGGATTCCTGGAAGTTTCGGGATCACGGAACGGTCGCTCGTTGGATAATTAGATCCTTTGTCGTCGCGGCACTGGGACATCCGCCGCGCCTTTGACCTTCCTCCCAACCCCCACGGGATTTCTCGTCCTCTTTAACGCACCAGAGACCTACATACATCCGGCTGATATCCGCTGGACGCCCCGTGGATGCTCGTTTGCATGGAAACAACGATACTCAGCTGCGATCACGGCTGTACCCGAGGGTTCCAACACCATTTCCGGTTGAAATAGTAACGGGAAGGGGTACTCTAATTTCGCGGTACTTTACGACGACTGGAAATTTAAGTACAGTAAAAGTTCATTTATTCTGTCTAGGACAAGACAGGGGTCGAGTAACTGGGGCGTTTGAGGAATGTGAGGTTATGTACGATTTCTGTGATTTTCGGTGGATTATTATGGAATTGTGCTCGTGTAACGGGCATCCAACAGGAAATTCTATGAATTGGAATTGTGCTTAAACTGATTTCTGTGTGGAATATTCTAAATTCGAAGGTTCGGTTTTTCACTAGCGAACTATTCTTGTCATGATGTAAGATGGCTGACATTTTGAAGACTGTCGCCGGTTAATATCTAATTTTTGTCTGTTACAGTAGATCTCCACGTTTTCAGTTGAGAAATTCAAGTACGTCCTCTAAAAAAGAATAAAAAAAAAATGGAAAAAAAAAAGGTCTGTTTGATATCGATATTTTCGAGTTTAAAATAATAAGATACAACGTACGTATATACCAGTCTCATAATTTCGTTATACCGATTCAAGGGTCTGGGCGTTAAATGATTAAAGTGACTGTCTTAATGTTATAAGTTTTGGAAGTTCACTCACAGGATTCAACCGATAGAAAGTACAAAAAAACAACGATCTTTTCTATATTAATAACTAAAAAAACTCCAAATTTCGAGTCATGTCATTGTCGCAACAATGAAAATTATTTTTATATTTAAAAGGAAAACGACTGATTTTATTTAATGCCAGCTTAATAAAAAAATCGTTTTTACGTTGACATCTACGTTTTCTTCGCGTTCCACACGTTTTAGCACGTTTCGGGAGGCACGTGCTCGGGCACAGACGGTCATAACGAGGGAAACAAACGGTGGACCGGAGACACGTGCGTCTTATTTGCGAATGATTAAACGCTCGTCTAACCTTATGTATCCAGCAGATTCGTATAACGAGCAATCACGAGTTCCTCGAGGAGACAACGACGGAAAGGATCGGGTACGTGCACGAGGATGAGTCTTATCGAGTTCTTCGGGGCTAAGGTTTCTTTAATGAGTGCGGGGGCGTTAGAATGGACTGAATGAACTCTCTCGTTTCCGAGGACTGATTATTGCAATCCTGTAATGGATTAACAAGGGAAGGCACGGAAGTGTCCCCCTCCGATTTTAATGAAACTTCGTGCGTCTGTTAAGCAGTCAAAAATAAGGGATCCGTAGTTTTTTTTATCGGCTGAGACGCGACTTTAAGGGGTAAAACCACCCCTCGAAGTTTCGATCCTCATACCAGTTTGACCATTAAGCAAATCAGAATATTTTCTTCCATAGTTGACCAATGTAACTTGTAAATTGCAATAAAACTGCTGATTTGCAAATGGAAATCTATTTAAAAAAAATTAAAACCTTAAAAATTGAAAATATGAGATACATGTGTTCAACTAGCAGTAAAAGATAAAAAATTATCTAGGCTAGTACGTACGTAATTTATTAATTAACTTTTATTTCACTTTATAACATTTGATCATTTGAATGTTCAGAAAAGTGTAAAAGTCATTTGATCGGTAATAGAAATCCCCAGAATCCCATGCATTCTATTAATATTCACCACAAAGCAAAGTTTTAGTCCTGACATTCATCATTTGAAAAACGAACAAAAAAGCGTATAATCTATAATTTATGCAACTATCTCGTCCTTAAGTCCAGCGGATCTCGTGTACCCACATCTAAATGGATTTTTGATCTCCAATGGTTTCAGTCTATTTCCCAGTGGAGAGCGTGATATCAGAATTCTTTGAAAGTTAGGAGGACTCACCTTCTCACAGAGGCCACATCACCGCGTTCCACCGCGAGAAGATATTTCTTCTCATGGCAGGACAGACTGGCCATTTCCTGGTGCGGCCTCACCACGTTCTCTTCCTCGTTCATCCCATGGATACTGTGCCTCTGAAATCGTCGTAACTTTTTATTACACTCCTGGCGTCGATGCTATCGCGTCCGGTTCGAAAAATGAAACTTCCCCGCGCCCTACATTTCCACTTGAATCGATACCGTCGTAATTCGCGGAACTGATTCGCAAAAAGTATAAAACGAAACAGTTCTGCATATCAGTTATCTTTAGTGCAGGACAAAAGATAGTAGAAAATGTGTTACATGTCAGTTATCTTTAATATAAGACGAAAAATAAAAGAAACAGTTTCGAACGGTATCTATCCTGTAAAAATTGAAGACAAAAATTATTTCATAGGTCAGCAAATAATCAATGTTAAAGCTTTTTTTGAAATCAATTTTTAAGGGCTTACATGAAGTGTATATTTCGCTTCTGTTCCCACTAATATTCTTATTGCAATTGTATTAATTGTTTCATAAAGAAATAAGTAACAATTTAAATTTATCATTCTAAGCCTCCGTTCAACATTTTGGTCGAAGGTACTTTTAGAGGAGTCTGATCTATTCGAAGAATCCTACTGTCTTAAAAGACCACCTTTTAGTCGTCCTGCGGGACCCCTATAGCTGTTTTCAGCTATTTTAACGCCCTTAAACTAGATCGATCACTTTCCTTAAATCTCATGGCTACCGTCTTTCTTTTCCTTTCTTCAGTCACTCTTAGCCTTTCTGCCATTTCTGGACTCCCTTCCCAGACCACCTTGGTCATTTTTATTGTGTTTTGGTGATCGCTGAAAGCGGTTTAGGATCAATGGGTGGCTTTTGCTGAATATACGTGGTAATCTAGATGGCCCTTGAAGCTCATTCAAAGGTACTCAAAGTCAATAGATCGATCTACAATGGTCTATGTAGTGTTTGGAGATAACTTGAAGCAGGCAGAGGAGAATATCAAACTCTAAACTGGGTTGGATAGTCTCTGATGATTAACGAGAGAAGTGGAGAGTTAGTGGACGACTTTAGAAGAATTTAAATATTTATATATAAGATAGATCCTTGAAGATACGTGGAATAAAGTAAATGCGAACGGTTGACTGCAGAAGGTCCTAGATGGCTCCTGAAGATCATTGAGAAGAATTGACTTTCAGTCAATCTTTCAGACAAAAGTCTCTAGAAGAAAGTAAACGGGAATGCCTGAGTCTAAAAAAGGCTACATAGTCTACCTAAAAGGAAAAAAAGGGGATCTGGTGTCTCTAAGGTGCCCTGGGTGATCACTGAAGATCATTCAAAGATACCAAGCCTCATTAAGCAGTTGTAGAATATTCTGGATGGTTCTCAGATATTCTTTGGAAGCAGCAAACGTAAACGACATACGCGAAAAGGGCGTGGAAGGTCCTTACAGACCATGAAAAACGACTGAGGGATGATGGTCGATGTTGGAAGATTTCGGTTGCCACTGATAGGATCCCGACAATTCCCCAAGGCTATAGAGGAGCCCTGGCAAGTTCGACAAGTGAATTAATAGAAAGACGTTATTGTATCAGGATACCCCTCCATGTTTTTTCCAAAAAAACCTTTCGATTCCTCGGGGAAACCCTTTGTAGGGGAGGGGTTTCATGACGGTTATCGATCGAGGAACGAAACTTCGGTGAAAGATGGATGAAATTAGGATGATAAATGAGCTGCTACGTTCAATGCAGCCGCTTAAGCCGAAAGCCCTCCTCTATTCAGAAGCGAGGGATCAAGGGGGACAGCTCGGTCGCGAGTCAGTCGATTCGAAGCGTCACGATGTTGTCGGAATTCTCGATTTATCGTGGAGGATAATCCGAGTGGAACAACTGCTTCGTTCTGCTCTCGAGAACTGCTATAATTTCGACGGAAATTGGACATCTTCGTTTCTGGAAATGACACCGATACTCTGTGGAACGGGTAACTGGTTCACCGATGACAACTCTTATGACGAGGGCAGAATATTTCGAGGCAGACGAATCATCAGAAAAGAATATTCAAGGGGTGATAACGTTGCGAGCATAATTCAATCATCGATCTTGTCGATTGTCTACTTCCATCGCGATTTCAAGGCTTCGTTTTGTAAATTAACCTTCAGACTCTCGCGGAGGCTCCTAGTGGGTCAATATTGATCCATATGCATCTTCTTCAACACAGAAAACAACATATTAAACTTGTAAGAGCTATCAAGGCTTTTCCTGTAAATTGTTGGGCCACAGTTAATAAATACAATTCAGTTCATTAGTCCCTAAAAAGTGGACTTTCGAATTTTAAGACGGCACTTGAAGAATCCTGCCGGGTCCTAACATCAAATATAGTGTTTCATTAAAAATAAAATAAAACTATCGTTATCGTTATATACGCTGGTACCGCAGAATTATGCAATTTTTGTATGAAGTAGTTTTGATGAAATTTCAGATATAACAGAAATACATATGGTAGGTGGGTAAAACGATAAACCGAGGCAGAGCATCTTGTACAGTAAATCCTCGATGAGTATTTGCAGGCTCCTCGGCACAGACTGCAGGAAGTTCTCTACTGGTTCGCAACAGCAAACCGCAAATTGGATCGACGTCGTAACGCAGTTATCGTTTGTGCTGCCTTTTACTATTCTTCTTTCGGCGGAACGTCTCGCGACTTGCGGGCTTATTACATATCCGAACTGAATTCACAAGTCATTCGTAATGATCAGGCATTGCGAATCTTTATAGAAATTCAGATTTTTAAAGATGAATCTATTTCACGCCGAATCGATCAGTTTTGTCAGGAATTTTGTTCACAATGAAATACAGTCAATCCTCGATGAGTGCTCAAAGGCTTCTGGGACTGACAAGAAGAGGTCAATGCACAGTAGTAACGCTGATTGTTTAATAAAGTTTAGCACAGTGATACAGCTTGTAATTCTGATACCAATAGTTAGTTCATGAAATATTTGGTGTTCAGTGCCAAGGAGCCTTCGAACACTCATCGAGGATTTACTGTGTGTTGTAATACACGCAAAATTAATGGAATTCTGAAGCCAATGATATTTGTTTCAGTCGCATATGGCCATTAGTTCACGAAATATTTAATGTTCCGTGCCGAGGAGTCATCGAACACTCCCCGAGGTTTTACTGTATATTTGTCTACTGCCTGAGGATTTACTGTATATTTGTCTACTTTAAATCAGGCGTCGGCAACCTATGACCCGCGGGGTCAATGTTAACCTATTATTTATATTTTCTCAAAGTGTTCGTTCAATGTTTATATTTTATAATTTATTTTTATATAGTATACTTTATTTGCGGAACTCAAGTGGGTCACTTGAAATTATCACATTGGTAATTCGGTGACCCGCGGGTCATACGTTGCCGATGCCTGCTCTAAATCCCACTGAAGCAACAAGACCGAACTTCTCGTTGCCCCGTTACGTAGAAGAGTATCGCGAAATTTCATCGATCCAGCGTTACCCTTTCATCGTTCTCCAACAGGGCCAATAACGCGGTTTAACCGTCCGGTTCTCGGGATCGCCTATCGTTTTGCGTCCGGCCATATCGGCGTTATTCAAATAACTTTAAGGCAATTACGCGCGAGGCCGGTAAACAACGGCGGTCTATTTCGACGCGGGAAATTCGAGCAACCAGGTTTTGGGAGCATCTGACGGCGAGAGGGAGATCAGGGTCGGTGATCCATCCGGCTGGCGTCTTTGATCCGGTTGAATAGCAACAGAAATCGATCGTGGTACGAGGCACACGTCCTTCGGTTACATCGGCTCGGTTTTGACCGTTTCCAGAGGATTCTGTGCGACGAGTGGCCGAGGACGAGCACATGGATCGAAGCTCTCCCGTTGAAATTGGGACGATGATCGTGGGTGGGAGACGACGAGGGGAGCAATTAACGACTAACGGATAGCCCTGCCATTGTTCGACCAGAAGGGGCAGAGAAAGCTCTCGTTACGGGGCAACTTCTCGTTACGGGCCTCGGCCATTAGATCGCAGGCATCGCAGGAAAGAATACCCCAGATGTGCCGCGAGCGCAACACGTAAAGATCAAGCGTAAAGAGAAACAATGAGGAGAGCCCGGTCGCGCGCGAAGTATTCAAAGGCGGTATTAACCTTTACACCCGCGTACTTTCCTTGCGATTCCTATTCGGGATGATCACCGGACTTTCGTGCTGGGAATCCTTGAGCTGGAGATAATATCTTCCAGTGCGCGCTCGGTGCAATCGTAAGGGCCGCCGTCAGTGCTTACAACGTGCATTTCGATTATACCCTACGAAACGGGTGGACCTCTAACCGCTGGTTTCTCGCTGATTACCGTTTGACATGGACCTTGGGATCTGATTGTTAATTCAAATTGGACGTTCCAGAACGGAATAAGGGTAATAGTGGGATGTGAAGAAAGTATTGTCCGAGCGTGTATAGCGCGTTTATGGAAGCTTGTTTAAGTGGGTTTGAGTGATTATATTGGGAGTTTTATTGAGGTATTGTCTGCCGATGGGGACGTGTGGCGCCACGAGATGGTCGAATGTTGAGGATGATGATGGAAGGGCTAGTGTGCGTCTGTTGAGGTCATTGTTCGCCGTGTTTTGAAATTTTACGTACTTTACTACTGCCATTACATTTTGAGAATTTATAAAAATCTTGAACTAGAGTTGATAATTGTTACAAAGAATCATATCTGTTACCAAAGGGATGTTATAGGCACGATGTGCATGCCACATAGCAGCATCAAAATTAAATTAATAAAAAAAAAAAATTGATATATCGGTATGTGATGTCACACAGGGCTATAGATGGTAAAATACTGAGAAATGTAAAATACGGATTATCGGATAATCGATACACGGATATCGTGAAGTAAGAAAATGCAAAACAGTAAATAACAATGCAATAAATTCTTCAAACATTACGTCGCGTTATGGATTCAACTACCTAAACACACACAAGACTATTTCCCGGTTCCCTCGACAGCACAGCCGTCGAGACAATAACCGCCCGAGAGCGTTATCGTACAAGACACTAATCCAAGAACACGTATCCCGTCCCCCATCCCCCAGATAGAACGTACTT